TATATGTTAACAATAGGGTTAAGGAATGTTTTTAACAATAGATTTTCAAGTATCGTACTGTTGTGACTGATGATTCAGATGGATTTTGTTTTAAACTTGGTTAAAAATTTTTTGATTCAAATCTCAATTTTGTAAGTATAAATTAGATTATTACTTGTGGTTGTTATCAATGTATATTCCATTATAGTTTCTCCTGAGGCAGGAATAAATTTGTTCCGAAAGCTCGAGTAATAAAAAGAGTACACTTAAAAATTTTGGCTTTGACTGCAGACCCGACTTTATTTAGAATTTTGTTTATATATATGTACAAACTTTATAATATGTTCGATAATCCGAACGATTCGATAATACGAACAATGCCTGGCTATGTTGTGTTCGGATTAAAGAGGTTGCACTGGTTTATGAACTATTGAATGCTCCAAAGTGGTTAAATTATTTAAAAAATCGCTTCCAGCACTTGATTTACTTGCAGTAGGGAAGATTTTTTACTAACAACTGATTTACGAGTTGTGAACTCCTGAATGTAGCCTTCAGCTACCGTTGAAGAACTCGTAAATCAGTTGTTAGTAAAAAAATCTTCCCTACTGCAAGTACATCAAGTGCTGGAAGCGATTTTTTAAATAATTTAACCACTTTAGAGCATTCAGTAGTTCATAAACCAGTGCAACCTCTTTAATCCGAACACCACATCGCCAGACATTGTTCGTATTATCGAATCGTTCGGATTATCGAACATATTATAAAGATTTGTACATATATATATGATTTACGAGTTGTGAACTCCTGAATGTAGCCTTCAGCTACCGTTGAAGATTTCCATCCACCAGGCATTTTTAAAGTTGTGGTATCAACTCCAGAATTTATTAATAGTGTAGCTGAAGTTCTACGGAAACAATATCCGTTATATTCGTGAGCATCTTTCAATTTGAGAAACGCAGCAACTTAATTGGTTATATTATGCTTTAACATTTGATTATTTAAAAAAAAATCTGTTACTATCTGTTTGTGTAGGACTTGTGGTACTACATTTCTGATATGTCTAAATATTCGCTTACAATAAAGAATATTTTTTCTTTGCTTTTGTAGTTGACAGAGTGATCAGCAATATATTTCCCATATCTTCAACATCTCCAATTTTTATTTGAAGTAATTCATGACATCGACACGCCCCAGATACCTGTATGTCAAAAATCATTACCACCTAAAATAATAACAGTTAGTATTTTTTTTTTTGTATAATTGTCTTCGTACCTAAATACGTATCATCAGGGGCCTGCATTATATATTTTATAATTTGTTCATTTTCTAAAACGCGTGATTTTTTAGCACGAAATCCATCCGATTGCCGTTTCAAGAATGTTTTTAATTTTATATACTTTCCAATATCAATGTTGTTGTAGACATTCAGAGTACCTCTGAGCATCGCATATGTAGACCATAATGAAGAAGATTTCATACTTTTGCGCAATTAAAAAAATACACCAATAGTACATTTTCTGACATAATGTTATTCTCAGTCCGGTAATCAATAAATTTTTTATATGCTGATATATCTTCTTCGATTTTTCTGATAATAAATTACACTCTATTTGCTTTGCTCGGATGCGCCTCATCTATTAAATACCAGCCCCAGCATTATATCTTGTACTTTACTGCCTAGTCAAACAAATAATATTCAACAGTTGCAGTTTTGTAAGAGTTTCACAGGTTAGTTTTTAGTGACTAAAATCAGATTACAATCACTACAAATAACGAGAACAACACTAAACGATTAAATATTTTTTAGTATTTATATTAAATGAAAAGTTGATATGAGACCTCTGCTAACAAAAAATTATATTTACTTACTACATTATGGAAAAACAGTTATTACTGTTAAATTATAAGCGCCCGTTTGGTAGTCACACTCAAATTAACCGAAACTGTGAAATTTATAAAATCTACTGCACCGACGACTACAAAGTTCGGTCTACTAAAAACTCTCTCTTAATATTCCAGGGAGCTTCCTCCAGCTTAGTAGTAAAATTTGCCGATACTGAAAAGGAACGCCAACTAAGACGCATGCAGCAGATGGCCGGAAACATGAGTCTTCTCAACCCTTTCGTGTTCAACCAGTTCGGAGCTTATGGAGCTTACGCACAGGTAACCTTTAATACCCCAAAGCACTTCTGCAGATTGTTACGTTCCAGGAATGTTCTTTGAAATTAATACGCCACAATTCACGAATGAGTGCCTTCCGGTTCGCAATTTTGTTATGATCTTTCGGAGCGTAGTAATTTTTTATTGGTAATAATTGCGGCAGCGGTGCAGTGGCGTGTTAATGAGAATATCCCAGATATAAACCAATCGAATATTGGGCGTGGTATAAACATCACAAGCAATACTAATAGCGTACAAGGAAAAATAAAATAGAGTAATAACATCAGTAATGGCAGTAATTGACAGGTTAAGAGCTCAGTGCTTTTAATAACCATGAAAAATATACTAATAGGTTTTAAAGCTTTGATAATTTGAGAATTGACGGCATATGGCTTTTAGGAGAACCTTTCTTTTAAACCATAATTGCATTCAGCTTAATATCAGCCAACTACTTCTTGTTAAATTCTTGTTGAAATAATTTTTTTAAAACGCTTTGTACATACCTAATTTTTTGCGCCCTTCTTGGTATGCATGTTACGAACTGCCACTGCTTATCTTACGTACCAATAAAACAAAAAGCGTGAAATCGACACGTGAATTGTGCCGGAAAAATTCGTACACTAATACTGTCATCAATGGAGCAAACTTTCTAATACTCTGAAAGAAAAGAAATAATTGTGCACACTTAAATTGAGCGGTTAATTATTTACAGTTCTTTTATGTCAGTGTGTCATTTATTGCTTATATATCCCTACCCTAAAGTAATAATAATATACAGGGTGATTCACAATGTCTGTAAAAAAATTCAGAGGAAGATAGAGCGGTAATAATATTGCAAGTCTGTCTTATTAATTATTACACAAGTCAACATTTAGTTTGAAAAAAAAAAACACACCGGACTCTACCTAGGTACCTAGGGGTTTTTGGGGTCGCTGATTCCGACGCCGAGGTCGGTTAAGCTCTATCACATCAGGTTCATGGTCATTTGAAGGTCAAAGGAAAGGTGGTTGAAAAAATCTGAAAAAATTCATACATGAGTTATTTGTGTCGTTGTGTCTGAATACGATCAGTTGACCTCTATCACCTCATATTCAAGGTCGTTTGAAGGTTAAAGTAGGCATAGGTGAAAAAAATTTAAAAAAAAATTTCAAATGCTCTGTTTATCTGTCTGTCATTTTACCCGTTAGTTTGCTTAAGTATTAGTCTGTATTTATTGTCCGCATGTATTTTCTCTCTGTCCATCTACCTGACATCCGGCCTTTCTACCTGTCTTTCTGTCGGTAATTTTGTCTTTCTGTCTGACTAGGTAAATGAGTTAAAAGTTTCCATCTGTCTGTTTTTTTGCCACCCTCTGTCTAAATGTCATATGAATCTGACACATAATTTTGTTCATTCTCATCTTGATTGATTCCCAGAAAATCTGGGAACTTTTAGTGAGGAACAAGGAGAAAGAATGCACCCGCACCTGAATGAGCTTGAACAAAGATATCAAGGTGTTTAGGGGAAGAATACAGGGTGTTCAAAAAGTTTGGAACCCCCCTCTATTTCAGAAAATACTGCTCAAACAAAAAAATAATTAGAACAAAAGTTGCGGGGTTTTGAGTGAGCAGTCCAACGGTGACATTGACCATGACCTTGAAGCTCATTAGAGGTCAAGTTGAAAATTTTAAATGGAACCGTATACTTTTGCCCTCGAAAATGGTAAGAACTGAAAATTATACGTTCCAGTGTGACCTTGACCATGACCTTCAAGGTCATTTAAAGGTTAACCTGAAAATTTTAAATGGAGCCGTATATTTTTGAACTCGGAAATGGAAAAAATGGAAATTTTTACCTACAAAGTTTTCAAATTGACCTGTAAACGACCTCCAAGTTACAGTCAAGGTCACCGTTTGATTGCTCATATTTAACCCTAACATCTTGGTCATTTTTCCACTGATGAGAACCTTCGAAGACAGACTGTTGCAAATACTGTGACCTTGAAATTACCATGACCTCAAGGTCATGGTCAGATCACAGCCGAACGTAAAATTTTTCGCTCTTTTCATTTCCGGTATCAAAAGTATACGGTTCCATTTAAAATTTTCAACTTGACCTCTAAATGACCTTGAAGGCCGACCTCTGCATCGGAATCAGCGACCACAAAAACCCCTAGGTATCTAGGTAGAGTCCGTTGTTTTTTTTTTCAAACTAAATGTTGACCTGTGGCCAACGGTTTAAAAAAAAAATTAAAAAAAAAATTGGCGACCCGTCACAAACGGAGAAATATTTATTTAATGTTTTTTTGCGTTTCAACTTGTGTGTCACTTTTACTTGCAACTTTCAGTTTCTGTTAGATTTATTGTTATTCCAAATTATGAATATCAAATTAAACTAACTTTGAGTTATAGTTATTTCATAAATAAGATTAGCTAGCTGAACACAAGGTATCAAATTCTCCCCTTAAAAGTAATGCTAGTGAAATTCTTAACTTGGTGCAATAGTTTTTGAAATATTGCTATTCTTTACGACTATTTGGACCAATCACTCTATTTTTGGTTTTATGAATTTCCCATTAAGTGTGTTCCATTATTAAAAAACGCCCTGTTTATGCTACTTATGATAAGTTTTTCTTAATTAAACTGTAATTTTCAGAGAAAATCAAGTGATCTTATTATCTCATTCGTAAAAATTAATGTGCGATTTCATAAAAACGTATTACTACGTTCTATTAATGACCTATATTCCAAGATTATACGTGGCAGACAGTGTCTTGTGCTTTATCTGTTGTTTATAAGTCTTTAATAATACACTCACCCAACATTTACCCCGAAATTACCTAGTAATAAAATATAGTGTCCTAAAGTGGTTGCGTGACTTCAGTTACGAAATTAGGGATAAAACCGGAGCCCCTGGGAAATTTCATTTGTAATTTATGTCATTATTCATTTCCAGTTGCGTATAGATGCGTTCGATATTCATGTGTTAACTTAACAAAGGGTCATCCATCGACGTTTTTCAGTTTCGGGGATGGGCTATTGTTTGCATTATTTATTACTTTGTCAATAAATAAGTAGCCATGCGAAGCCACCTGGAAATTTCACCTAGAAAGAAAATGTCCTAGAACGTCCAAAACACTTGCGACAGCTTTATTAATTATTAATTTTTAATATTGAATTACTATCTTTTTGTTTGAAGTGCTGATATACATACTGTAATGGAACATATAGCATCAGAAAATAAGTAAAATAAAATAAAATAAAATTTTTACAAAGACAAATTTCTCAACACGGCATATAATAATTTTCATATCAAGATTAAACTGATTTTTCACTAGATAATTTCAGTAAAGATTACAGTGGTATTATGTAGTAAATCTGAAAAAATAAAGAAAAAAAAAACTAATTTTAGTTGGTAACAGTAAAAACAATAAATTTTTGTAATAAAAGAAAAGAGTTCGGCAATATAGTTGTAAGTTTGGTATAAAACTAGTAATATAATACTAGATGTATATACCATTTTTTTGTTTTATAATAGAAATTATAATTTAATTAATAGTTTAATATGATACAAATATCTTTAGAAAAGAGTAGGTACGCTGCTATTTCACGGGTACTATAAAAGCAAGACCTAAACAATTAATAATATAATAGTGGTCGGCACATTAGTCTGCAGAGTAGCTGTCACATCACCTGGGAAATAGCAGGTCGCTCTCTGCCCATTTGGCCACATGAAAGCCTAAGCATTGAGTAGTAGTGACTACTCATAGATGTAGCACTTAGTCGTATTTCACCCATACTCACTTCATCTCTGTAGCCAAGATACTAGATATAGCTGGATCATCCATTTGTTAGTCCACCTATTGCATACTGATGAAAACTAATAAGTTCGAAACCGGTATATGTCTGGTGGTTCTTTATACTCTGGGTATAATTAGTAATAATATCAGTTCGAGCAGTTGTTTCCGGTAATGCTAACAGTTAAAAAGAGTAAGGTTGAATTTGCAACATAGTGGTAGATATTTTGAAAGCTACGACTAACTTTCAAAGTATTCTGTTTTTTTTTTAAAGAACCCCGCACAAAATCAATGGAAAATGGGTCCCAGTCGATTTTGCTAAGACTGCAGTATGTTATAGTTTTTGACTTTCAAAAGTTGTCAGGGACCCAAAATGATCCCATATAGTTTCAGAGATAAAGAGGAGGGAATTATGTGATTTTGGCTGTAGGCCTGAGTAAACTTCAAGGTTCAAGTTGATGGATTCAAAAACTAAGGCATGTAATGAATTTTGACCAGTAGGTACAATGCTTTTGGGATCGCTGAACCTGAATTCGGGGATAGCTTAGCTATATAAGGTCACCTGGATGTCAGGTAAAGGTCGTTTCAAGATTAATCTAAAGAAAATGTTTGTATTGAATTTCAATCGGTGCGTATATAGTTTTTTTTTGGGGGGGGAGTGAATTCGGGGATAGCTTGACCTAGGTCACATTTAGGTCATGTCAAGATCATTTCAAGGTCAAAGTAAAGAAAAGGTCTTTCACGAATGTTAACCTGTAAATATAAATGCTTTTAAGGTCGCTGAACCTGAATTCGAGGATAGCTTAACCCTATAAGGTCATCAGGAAATCAAGTCAAGGTCATTTCATTTGACTTAATCTCAATTCAAGCCCCGCAGGTGACCTTATAAGGCTAAGCTCAAGCCCCGAATTCAGGTTCAGCGACCTCAAAATCATACATACTTACAGGTTAACATTCGTGAAAGGCTTTTTCTTTACTTTGACCTTGAAATGATCTTGACTTGACAAAAAGTCAAAAACTATAACATACTGCAATTTCAGCAAAATCGACTGGGACACATTTTCCATTGATTTTGTGCGGGTTTCTTTATTCACTCATCACAATATTAAACTGTATAGTAATTACTATTTATTTGTGTTTAATTTATTAGCTCCAAGTTTAGTGATTTTCGAGTTTATTTTTTCTGTTAACCTAGTAATTAATTTTTTGGGTAACTAGGAAGGACTCCCTTGTGTGTTAAATTTAGTTAATATAAACATAACATGTGTATAATTTTGAGATTACTTCATAGTTACATACGTGGTGATTCTCTGATGATAATTTCTTTGGTATAACACCCCTCCAAAAATTAAAAAAATATTGTTTTTCTTTTTTATCTTCCATGTATATATATCAAGCTAAAGAAACCAAACTTGGTGAAAGTCAAAAAGCACTGTCAAAAAAACTACACTTTTTTTTAACACTGAAGTATTTTTGTAAGAGGTTGAAATAATGAACCTTTATGACATTTTTTTCTTATAATTTTTTTTTCGATAAAATTTTTTCCTTTTAAAAAATATGTCTAAAAAGCCCCATTCGTTTATTAACTTTTTGATCTCTTCAAGTTTTTTCGAAAATTTAAGGTTTTATGAGAATAAAAAATGTATTGCAATGCATTTTTAAAAAGATGAACTGTTTAACATGAGTGTATTTTGCCGAAAATGCTCCAATGTTGGATTGCACCACACATTATTTAAGAATGTAATTAGAATGGACAATTATTTTTTACTAACTGTTTAATGAGTACGAGCGTGGAGGAAAAATTAATAACAATTTATAAAACAATAACATTTAATTTAATATTAAAAACTTTGCTGCACTTTTTTCGCGGATGCATTTAACGAATAATGAGAGACAAAATTACGTTTTGAGATAATAGAAAAACTTAATAAATTCTGATTAGTAAAAAGGAAGTCGTTCTAGAAGTGAATATGGTACATAACTTTTACGAATACGAACAAGTTTCGTTGATATATGTATACTTTCATTATAAAGGACCTACAGTATGTTATATTTTCAGCAACAGGCTGCAATTATGGCAGCAGCCACTGCACAAGGAACATACATTAATCCAATGGCGGCGATAGCAACTCAGTTACCGCACGCCGCAATAAATGGAATGGCGAATTCTGCACTACCCCCAACGTCAGGTATTATTATATAAATATTATGAAAAGGCAGGTACATTAAGATAATATTGTTTTAATTATCGTTAAAGCTAAAAAAGCACTCCGTTTATTCACAGTTAATGATCGCATAATGAATTACCGTAACCATTTTTTTTTAACTTTAAAACTAAATTACAATAATTCGGTCATCGTGAGCAAAACTAGATGGAATTTTCGTGTAACAGTGTTTTAACGGTTCCAACTGTTAACTGTAATATACACAAATTATTATTAAAATGAAATGGTCCACCTCGTTATAGTAGGACTTATAGGCTATTACTCCGTCAGATGTTCCAGTTGGAGCTGGTTCTGGACAACCCGTAAATGGAACTATCCCCAGCTTGCCTTCCCCGACGATGCCAACATTTAACATGGCAGCACAGACGCCAAACGGTCAACCTGGCGGCCAAGAACAAGTATATACGAATGGAATCCCTCCCCAAACATACCAAGCTCGTAAGTAGTTTCTTTGTTAATTTAACATCTGCAATAGAATATCCAAAAAAAACGTATGTTAGTTTCAAATGTAGCATTGCTTTTTTATTGCTATTACTGTATTGAAAATTTAAAAAGTATTAAATCAAGTTGTTGAGAGAAACCATAGAGCCACTCGTCAAAGTGTCCTTGAGACTCCCATCTACTTTATAGTAAGTATAGTTCAATGATAGTGCGAAATCTTAGATAAGATTGTGATGTAAAAATGTAGGAACTTCTGCTCCTCAAGAATATTATGATACGTTTCAAAGAAAAATAAGAATTCGTTGTGTTTGTAATCATGATAAATACGATGCTATATGTATATGGGAGTTAACGCGAAAATTTTCCTACGCCATGTTACAGTTGACAAAATTCTATAGTTAGCAGAAGAACCCCTTGAAGGTCCTCGCTGAACGCTGAACCAATTAAGGCTTTCTACATATTAGACGTATCGTCTTAGACGCGTACAAGGTTTATCATGTAGCAGGCTTAAACCCGCGCATTGCAGCTTGCATGCCGTGACGAATAATACGCTACACTGTCGTTCCGTGAATAGAGACTCGATAAAGCAAACGAACATGTAGTAAAATATTGCAGCCAGCCTCGTGGACAGAAATAACTCTAGCTGTACTGCAGCCTGCTTGCCTCAACGATAAATGCCGCTCGTGGAAAAACGGTACGTCAGATATGCAGAAAGCCTAATAGTGTTACAATGAAAGTTAGCGGCAGATCACAAACATAAAATTTGTGAAAGGAAAGTGTGATTCTTGCTAAGAGCGCAAACCTAGTGTAGTGTCGAGGCTTCGGATTCAGATAAAGGGTAGATCCACGAGCAGCAACTATACCCGCACATAATTGTACGGTGCAAGAGATAACGCTTGTATTTAATCTCCTTAGCTGGTGCTCGTGTCTCAAGTCTTTGGAGACTCAATAACGCTTCATTCCTCCATTCCTAAAAGTTTACCGAAATACCAAAGTGCCGATACTTGTGTCTGGTCCAGCAGAGGTGTCTAGAGCAGTCCTTATACTAGAGATGCTACTCTGCTCTAGACAAAATTAATTTTATATGTACATGTGACACTATTCGAGAATATACTACTGGAGGTAGCCTCCCAAGAGCTGGGCACGTTACAAGCGAAAACAGAGACAGCTGCTATCTCTCTCTTGCTGAATGCGATTGGCTGTTCCTGTCACATATATATGGAGAGGATCAGCCGTGAACCAATCACGTTCGGCGAAGAGAGAGATAGCAGCTATCCCTCTCTTCACTCTCCAACGCGCCCTGTCATTGGGTAACTATCTCCAGTAGTATATGCTCGAAGGAGACACTTTAGCATGCAGACGAAACATAAAACTTCATGACATCTTGATCAAAAGTCCTCATGGGTCCAACGTCAGAAAATTGTCAGTGTTAGAGTTACAAAGAGTGAAAGATCAAGACCGCTAACGTCATAGTTGAGAGTATCATCTTAACATTGCTATTCTAATATATTTGGACATATGTGTTCTCTTACTCAAACTCGCGTATGTGTCATACCCTCGTACTCCCTCTCCCCAATGCACGCGCGCTCACACATAGTACATACCCTTTATACCCCTAAAACTAGTCATTTTCAGATGTTGGACCTATGAGGAATTTTGATCAGGATTTCATGAAGTACAGCATACTACATTTTCAGTCCATTCGATCATTACTATGACATTAGTGGATATCGATATTCCTGACCTTTGACCCTTTATATCTCAAATTGGCCATTTCAGACTTTGGGCTCATGAGGACTTTTGATCAGGATGTCATGAAGTACAACATATTCCTTTTCAGTCCATTCGACTGTACCCCCCTTTTCCATTTGTTTTATGCGGTGTCCTTTGTTGTGTGATGTCCCATAGTTCCGTATTACCTTCCAGTATTTCAACTAACTCCGCTGTTTTTTCAGTCTAGAAAGCTGAATGAAACCCTGTATTGGGTTGCGTAATTAAAATTTTTATTAACTATGTAGTAAATAACTAATATATATTTTGTAACTGTAATCAGATTGTTAATCACCGACTCAACAAGTTTTGCCTTAGCAATAAAATTTCCAGTCTGCATCTACACTCGAACGTATCACGACGTGAGTGTCAAATATAAGTAAACGTAGTGTGAATATAATATGGTGTGTCTACGCGCATGTGGTGATGTCACTTAAGAGACAGATTGACGAAATCATGGCATCATGCGTTGGTATGAAAATGTTTTTCTTCGTTCTGTCGTTTTCTCCAATAATCCACAGCTGACTGTCATGACCTAAACATATCACTTAATTAATTTGACAAAGGTTACATACTCATTTAGACTCTAGTCACTTAAACTGATCTTTTAAACACGATTGGTAACATATGTATCTATGGAAATTACAGGTTTTATGTCTTACATATAACGATTAACTTAAATTATCTGTTTATAAAGAGTGCTCCAAAATTCATTAAAGAAGTAATTTTGAAAACACAGGTTTTTAATTCAAAATTGCAAACTTTTTATTTATTATACATATACATATCGGGTTAAAGGCCTCCACGGCTTTCCTGGCACATACGCACTCTTTTGTCGTAATTTTCCATAACCGTTTTGTATAAATGCGGCTGAATTTCCTTCATACAGCGCTCAATGTCCTACTTCAAGGCGTGGGTGATCGTGCGCTTGTTGGCATAAACCTTAGACTTAAAAAAACCCCAAAGAAAAAAATCCAACAGCGTTAAATCGCATAATCTGGGCAACCAATTCTGATCACCATGCAGTAATTGAATTATTTCTCGGGCTGTGTGGCACGTGGCACCGTCTTGTTGAAACCACACGCATATCTCGCAATTTAAGTACAGAAAACTGGATTATCATGTCTCGATAGCAAACGCCATTAACTGTTATTGCCTGACCAGCCGCATTTTCCAAAAAGAATGATCCGATGATGCCTCCACTCCAAAGTCCGCACCAAACAGTAACCGTTGTGGATACATTTGGTTCTTAATAATCAGTCGTGGATGTTCTGAACCCCAAACGCGACAATTTTGTCGATTAATGAAGACATCAAGATGTAAAGGACCGCATCGTTGAAAATGATTTTGTTCAAAAAATCAGCATCTACTTGTTCCATAATCCATTCAACGAACTCTCTTCGCTCTGCGTGGTCAGCAGGCTTCAGTTCTTGAGTCAATTGAAGTTTGTAAGTATGAAGACGAGATGATAATACACTCTAGAGGTAGAGAGCTTTTCGAAATGTTCCTGAACTCTCACAAACTACTTCAATGTTTTGTGTTGAACGACTTCAGTCTTCAGTCTTCCTGATTAATCTCATTACAGCTGATGAAGTTAACTCACTATTCCGACGTTATTTTCTACGAAAATTGCTGCCAAACTTTCATTGTTTTTAAAATATTGCTCAATAATGAAAGCGCATAGTTCTTTCGTGTAGCGCTCTATTTTTAATAACCCTGAAGTATCAACTGTCACGCGGTCTTTTTTTCGTCGGGTATTCCGTAAATTTTGGGATATCCGATTTTTGTCAAAAGGTCTCTGCTGACGTCATGCGCAGACAGGACGAAACTAAGCCGGCTAGCGAGTACACCATGCTATATTCACACCATTCATGAAAATTAATCACTAACCTCATTAATCAATGAGCTGATCAGTAAAGCAGTAACGAAATTAATTAATTAACAGAAGCAAAACGCATTTTTTGGGTATTCTGTCATATCGTACTGGTTCAAAGAAGAATTAAGAACTGAATTAATTGAAATTTAGATGCGCTACATCTGTCCATTCCAGCGCAAGGGTTGCCAAACGGAGAAGCGGCGATACAGCATCCAGCGTATCCAGGCATGCAGCCGGCATATCCAGGCGTCGGTAAGTCGCCCCCCCTTCCCCATTTAAACATAACTAAGTGATCGTATATGTGTAAAGGGTGTATATTTATCTTATATGTTATAAATGTAGCTTGAAATCACCTAAATGTTTGATGTTACACACGAAATTTGTTGTTCTATGTTGTTGCTTCATATTTTATTTATACCCGACATATAACCGTCCCGAGTACTTTGTACTATTATGTCCCTTATTATTCAAATTAATGTTTGTATCGTTGTTACAAAATGTTTTACATTAGTTGTGCGTTTATTATTCATGGGCTAATAGGTATGCATTAGGCTCCCCAAGTATCAATTTGTAATTCCCCGTGTTTTTATCTTAATTTGATAACGCAGTGAGCGGCTGTATAGAATAATCATACTTATAAACTTAGCAGCCATGAACTTTCGTACACATTAGTGACGTCAACTGATCATTATCGACCAAAGAACGCCCCACATTTGATATGTGGACACAAAAACTGTCAATAGAACGTACATTACTGTCGGATACCTACGCATACATATAATTATTTAAATATTAATGGTTAAATATTTGTGCGCGTAAAGTAGTTTCGTCTTTTTTAATGTGTACTGATATGTGATAAGAAAAATATTAAAATGTGTACCTAAAAAAAGGTCAGGCTTAAAAAAATATATGTTTATCAGCTTTATTTTAACAAGAATTATCATTAAACTCCAAAAATAAATTTGTAACTCCTTTTGCAGTGAGCTCTTTGCTGCAGTGGAATTTTTGATGAATCTAAAAAATTTACGATTAAAAAGAATTATTAAGGTCTATCATACTGTCCTTGTAAGTACAGTATTGCATATAGCTTACGACGCATTTTAATAATGTATCACGTATTATATTATTTTAAATAGGAACGTCTTTATTAGGCTAAGGGCACATTATTAACACGTGTTGAATCTTCACGTGTTAAGACGTCACAGCGCGACACATCAAGTACGCTGATCACATTAATCTGACGTGTTATATAAAGTTTTTAAATGTATTATAATAAAAATAGACACTAAAGTTATCCAATGTCGATTCTAACCATGAATATAATCGAAACAAAGGAGAATTTCCTCTTTCAAATTAATTAGTTATTTGAGAAAGAGGAAATGTTAGTTGCTGGTGTCGTTTGCCCTTTACAATGAATCCAGGAAACGAGTTGGAGAGTGTCATGTGAATTTGCGAATTTTAAATATGTAATGATCCAATTTATTATTGTGAGCTTGAAGAAAATAAGATAATAAATAAACTGAATCCTACAATTGATGTCATAGCATTCCATCTACCTGATAGGAGAACGGAAGTCCTTTTACTCTGCAGTCCCAAGAAGGCAGGCTTCATTTATAATTTAAATAAAAAAGAGTGGCATATAATAATAATATGTCAATACAAAATTGTATGTAGTAAATATGTTGACAATAGGAAATAACGATTGAATTTGATCCCAAGATCAAAACTCGTTAATTGTAAAAATAATTACAGACACATAAAAAAAAAACTCGAATCCGGGAGTGCTACTCATTTTGATGCCAATAATCAATAGAACACGCTGTTAGTCAAAATTTGGCTCCTAATATTTAAAGGATATCTGAACATATAATTTCCGACATATTTTGACGAACTGGAAACTATCCCGTAGTCAATATTTAAGTGCGATCTAACATTTTCCTAGTCCCACCTTTGATATTTTTTTTTCTTAGAGTCTTAGAGTTGTTAGGAATCATATAGAATAGAGTTTTCTTTGTTCTATTCGAATATCATATGTCATGACTACGATATCGTTTTCAGCTGGTCGGAAATAATATATGTCAGATATTATGTAGAGCAAAATCAATTTTGGACTATGATATAGTCCCCTAAATATAGATTTTACAAGATACTGGCCGGTCTTACACAAATTCTGACTACGATATCGCTTTTAGCCGCTCAAAAATGTCTGAAATGATATATCAGATCTTTGGGTTTGGACTTTTATGTGTTATTTTATTAATTAAAATGGCTAACCCTAAACATTAGCAGCCAAACTTTGACTTAGAGTGTATTTAATTGATTATTATTGACATCAAAATGAGTAGCACTACCAGAGTCTGCATCTTCGCACTTGAGTGTTTTTTTTTGTGTGGCGGTATTATTAGTCCATTCCATCCCTGACGATTATACTGTTTCTTATTTAATAGCACAATGTAGGCTCTTACTTCGTTGAGTAGGATTTTATACAGTGTATCCCAGATGCCAAAAAATATACCAAAATTATAACCGCGTATTTAACTTACCAGAAGCAATAACGTTTGTCTCATATTTTTTTTTCGAAAATCATTTGGATTTTAAGATAATATAAATTTTTAAGTTTGAATTTTTTTTACCCACCACTGGAGCATAAATCGAGACGCTTAGATATTTGATTGACAAAAAGACGCGGAATTAATTCGCATTGAAAGATCACGATCATCATGTAAACATCAGAAAATGTACCTTTCCTGTTTTGTCCAGCAAATTTGTAAAGATACTCTGTGATTGTGACTAATGCATGTGTTAATAGTTTCATAAAAGCATTCTGCGGGATGTGATTATATTTATAGTACGATACGTGATTTTCCGTATGTTCAACAGGAGTGCAAAATCAGGAAACGAAAAACATACGAGGTGAAAATATGCTTGTTTTCCTTATTTTGAATGTTTTGTCTTATATCCTGAAGAAAACTTATATAACTGGTACAGTGAAGAGATCTTGTTTCCAATTTGCTTAGATTTCCCGCGACCGGTAGACCGTAGATTAGCTATGCTTGTACGGAGGATTGGCACCCTCTGTGCACGTATGGTAGGGTGGAAGAATGTTGACTTGAGTCAATGTGAGAGACTGACACCGGTTGGCATTTGACCACCCCCCTAATTAATGAGGTTTTCCAGGTTTCCCTCATTCCTGCACTGAAAGGTGGTTAGGGCTTACCAACATAAGTCGTTCCTGGGCGCAAATGCGGCCTGCGTAATAATAATATGCCGCCTCCTCTCCCGCACAAGTCTCCGACTTCTGGGCTAATTCTCGTAGTTAGAATGAGGAGTAGAGTTATTATTATTATTATTATTATTATTATTATTATTATTATTATTATTATTATTATTATTATTATTATTATTATTATTATTATTATTATTATTATTATTATTATTATTATTATTATTATTATTATTATTATTATTATTATTATTATTATTATTATTATTATTTTCTAAAATGCTGGACAAAAAATTCCACATATAAACGCCCCCTTATATATCGAATAATTTGTATGGGATACTCTCTGACAAAAAGTATTCATTGATTAAATGATATTTTTAAATGAATTGTGATATTTTTTTACCTTAATTTTATCGTTACCTTTACTACGCGCAATACAGCAGAAACCTATTTGAAAATTGGTGTTTTTCAAAAAAATCCTGCAGGTATTTATGTATATATTCTTATTATTTGTAATAAAATAACAAAGTAACTAAAATACAGCAGTACATCAGAATATTGTTATCCGTTTATTCGTTGTGACGTGTTGTGACTCTTCACATACAAATGTGTTCTAAGGTTGAAAGAAATACCAGAAACTAATAATGTTATTATAAATTATAAAATATCAGAAAATATTTTAACTTATTTTTTAAATTAACGTTTCCAATTTTTGTCAGTACTGGAACTGATATTTGTTTTACAAAATGGAAAACCTTCCTTAGATACTTTTTTTCTTAAGTAGGTGCACTTAGATATTTTAAATAATAAATGATCTGTAATGTACTAAATAGTACAAACATCAACATTTACAACATACATTTTTTACTGTTTTTTTATCAGCATAATTCTTCCGAATCAAATAAGCATAAATTTATTTTATCCAGAACCGTAATTCCAAAATGTAAAAAGAATACAATTTCATTATTATTTCAAAACAAATACTCCTTTGTTGGTAATGTAGAAGTTAACAGGTGTTTTAAAGCTCCTACATTGACGAGCTACTGGATTATTGAATTTAACCCCGATAGACAGGCTCTGCACAATGGCATGTACTACACGTAATTTAATGTATCTTCGCATTAAAAGATAAAGAGATATAGCGTCTCCTTTGACCAGCTTAAAATTATTTGCAATAATCCCTATAAAACCCCTTGTAAAAATGCTGGTACAAAAACATATGTTCCCATTCATTAATCACTTTGTCAATATATAGGTGTATAAAAACATTTTATTAAGCCAATTCATTAGTGAAGCTTAGTAGCTTGGAAAACGAGGTAGCTTTCGTAATACCTTTACATTTGCCCCTAAAAAAATATCTGTAATACCTAGAAGTATCTAACGTGTCCTGTTATTTACGCAATTGTGTCATTTTTTTCCTATTGAATTTAATTACTGGTCTGTACTAATCTATACTTAATTCCGGATCTACACTGACGCGAACATTGTTAGCTACCCATGTTCATCTACGAGGGAGAATCAAATATAAACGATTTTTGTTCCTGAGCATCTACGGACTGGGCTCGCGCTTCTAGTATGCTTGGGTGGGGTCATTAGGAATGGCCATTCCACACTCCCAACCAAGGAGTTCAAGCGATGGAAATTTTCCGTAGATTCTGCAGAGTTCGGGAACCAAACACTGTCAAGGACTCGTGTGATTCCTTGGTATAAAGAGTACAAGGAGGCACGAAAACGAGTGGAAAATCAGGAACACGATTGCCGTTCTCGGACAAGCATTTCAGACAAAAAATTCGAGCGGTTCGCGACATTGTTGAAGACGATCGACGGATGAGAGTATCCGAAATTGCAGAACAGGTCGGAATAAGTTATGGAACTGTCAAGTGATAATTACAAACGACCTACAGTTCCGTAAAGTATTGTCAGATGGATCCCTCACCTTTTGCCCCCAGATCGGAAGATGGGACGTTTGGAGGTCTGTCAGAGGCTTACAGCAAGGTTTGAGAAAGAAGGTGATGTATTTTTGAGTCGGATCGTAACCTGCGACGAAACGTGGGTCCATCACTACATTTCCTAGTCGAAACAAGCCAGTATAGAGTAGCGGAGGAAAGAGTAGGCGGCCCCAGTGAGAACCAAGACTCGAGTGTCAGCTGACAAGGTGCTTTCAACTGTTTTTTCCACCAGCGAGGCATTTCAGAAGCTCAAAACTAAAAGAAAAGCACTGGACTCAACTTGATCGTCCTCCCTACAACCAGGACCTATCGCCCTGCCATTTTCATTTGTTTGGGCCGCTTATATTGTTAGTGAACATACTTAGCTAATACAGTTAGTACCCGGCATAAAAAACGAATGTAACATATAAATTCTGTAATATGGTTTCATTTTAAATACCTGTATTTTATCCGCTATTTCAAATTTGAGACGTTAATTACTACTGTTCTTCGTATTCGTAATGAAACATATTCTATTAATAATTTCTTAAATGGTCAGGAAAGTTGTATAATTACACATTTCAAATATTTTCCTTAATTATTTCAAAACTGTCACAAAAATGTGGCAATTCAATGAGTGGAACATTTGGTTTTGATGTTGATGAGACGAAACAAATAATTAACCAAACGAAAGTGATTTCTTAAAGCAATTTTTTAATTGATATGACAGGTGACAAATTAGAAACAGTAATTGGATTATTCTGTTGGATAACGTTCTCTGTTAAAAAATATTTTCAGAAGTAATACTATAAATACTTCAAAATAATTGGTTATACATCGACAAATTGCTGCATAATTACAGTATCAGTTTGACAGTTTAAAGTTTAAACTAACACGATTTGTAGTTGTGCAGGAGGATTGAGATGTAGTTCCAGCAAGCGTAAATTATATTTATATTTTAAGTTCGTCAATATAATTTCAGAAAGCTGAAGTGATTTTCAGATTAGTAACAGGTATTTCAGAAAGCCTCAATTGTATTCCAACAGAGTTAGTTCCAATTTAGAATTTGTAAATTATATTTTAGTCAAATTACTTATTGTACTTTATTTTTATTTTAGTGTCGAATATATTTCAGAATTTCTCAAAAATATTTTTAAAAATGAGATGAGTCGACTATACAGGGTGGGTCAGATTTAACGTATGATTATAAAATACTATCTCTTCGAGGTATAAGGAGATAGAGTAAAAAAACTCACTGCACTTACAAGTTGCATTAATATGCGGTAATATCGCCTAAGCAACCATGTTTTTTATACCTATCTGTTACTGCTTCCCATCAAAATAATTTTTTCGTTTTATATAAATCGTTGGTCTACGTAAGCTACATATAGCGCGACATGTTAGTATGGTTGGTGTCAAAATGTATGGAAAATATATAGAAAACATATAAATGCGAAAGGACAGAGTATCTAGCGTGCACTGTAGTGCGCATATGTAAATTTTCACTCAATACCTAGGTATTGCGTGTCGCCACATGCACCCTACAAAGGCCATAGAACACCAACAATAGGTGTTTTTTGGTTCCGACATAAAACGGTTCTAGGACGGTTGAAATTAGTTGACCATTCCACTTATAAGAACATCTAAGCCAAAACATAAAGTTCTAGGATTAACAAAACCGAAACTAGCCTTCTAGAGGCCCTAGAGATTCAATTTTGCAATGTATATGCCATTTAGAGCAATATCGGTAGAAATCGGCATTGCTATATATACTGTGACATTTAATTTCTGGAACTTACTTTTGACATCTAAAGTGTCGACTTGTACCTGCAAATTAAAAGAGATACAAGGTAAGTTTGGTGAAACTTCGCAAATATTTTTTGTTTGGTCTACTTTCTTGCAAATGCCGTTGACCTTGGAAAAACAGTAAAAACTTTATTTGCAAATTTTTGTTAATTTGGAGAATAAAAATATGTTTTTTAAAATATCACCGCAAATCTTGGAAAATCGTATTTATTTTCGAATGTATTATATTATCCCCTTAAATCTGGCCTACCCTGTATATATTATGATTCACCTCTCACCTTAGAAATCTTAGAAACCGTTCACAATTTTACAATAATATTCTGTTGCTGTGTTTCTTTAACTTTTACAAACGACAAAAGAAAATAAATAAATTCTATGAAATCTCCATTTTCCTTTTTTTAATCTTGTAACTATAAATATCAGAAATTTTAAATTTTCAGCTATTACAAAAAGCAGTCCTAAATCTACTGGTAAAAATTTTTCTAAGCCTAGATTTTGTCTACAGTAAACTGTTTTCTTACGAATATCAATTTTCACATTTAAAAATTATGAAACACAATTTTGCACTATTAACGTTGGTTAGCACAAAAATTAAGTTTCTATTATTTATAGTACAGTTATTCAAAAAAGAAAAAATATATAATTTAATGGTCCGTTATAGTTTCAAGAAACCATTTGTGACAATTTGACCATTTTTCAAATACATGTAAAAGAAGCGTACCCAATTCCAAATATTTTAAAATGTAATTATATGTATTAAACTTAAGATTTAATAATTTAAAATTAATCTCGAAATCCTCTCAAGTTTTGTATTCATTTTTACTGCCTAAATCTTTATTAAATATTGAATAAAAAAAAATCTATATATTTTTAACGTGATATGTAGGAAATAGATAATTTTATCAACAGGCTGTCTAATAGCATGAACAAGGAATTAAATTTTAGTTATTTTTTTTCATTAAATGATTAAAATGGACTGTATATGATATTGTATATAATGATTTTATTATACACGTTATGTGCTTATTTGATTCTGGAGGAGGTCGTACCAACTGAACTGAAGCATGTTTGGTTGCATTCGTCGTAAAGTATGGGTGTGATTTGTTTATATTTGTCGGCAGCTTACCCCGCGGTTTATGGTCAATTCCCACAGGCAATCCCACAGCCTATGTCAGCAGTAGCTCCGGCTCAGAGGGAAGGTAAGACTTAAGTGCTCACGTACACGTTAATTAACTCTAAAGTTAGGATCCCCGCATTTCAGAAAATAAACTCACTTTAGATTTGCAACATTTCAGCCATCATAACTTATGAACCAGCTCATGGAGAGGTGGTAAAGCATTTAAGAAAAGGAAATGCCACTGATCAAATCCAAATGATTTTGCCGTTAATTTTAGTGTTTCTTTTTCTTAAATGTAAACTAAATGTTTATACTTACTATGTCCTTCCATTTATGATGTTGCATATCGATGATTGTTTATTTTTTTATATGTGTTCAATGTTAAATATTGCATTGGATGTTCTGGCATTGGCTACAATAATTACTGGCCTTATTGTTTTAGATGTTGTATGGTTGATAGGTATGTTTGATAAGGTTAATGGTGGATACTACTTGTTGTTCCAAGAAAGACATGTTATTTCACAATATTATATCATTCGATTTATGAATGATTCCAGTAACTACAGCTATTAAAATTATTTCAAAACTAAATTTATTTTTAAAATTAAATTAAAATTATTTTTTTTTAATTTCAAAAAGAAGGTAACAAAATTATAAGTAGAGTGGAACATTATAACCCTCTGGAAATCAATTAATAAAAAGTCTTGGAACAGAGAGTTAGGTACAAATTTAAAAATTTTTTAGAAGTATCTATTTTGTTTCAATTTCAATACACATATTTTATAGTTACAAAAACTATATATTTTTTCATGTGTTTAATTGCTTTTAACCTTTATATCGTACGACACTGTGTATAAGGTGTCCCAAAATTGGTATTTTAAGAGACGAGAAAAATATTCGAAATGTATCTTTGTTAGGAATGTCACAGGTAAATGGAATTTGGAGTATCATACAAAAACGTTTTGCATGCGGACTTTCCTCTGTTCAAACTAGAAGTGGGAAATGTTAGTTTTAGAGTCTATTTTAAAAGATACCACTGCTTTGAGTTAAAACAAAATAACATCGGTGTGCCACAATGTCCATTCTACTAACATTTAGAAATCATTATTTCTCGACATAACGATAAAACATTGTTTTATTTCATCATAAAAGTTTCCTAAGATATCTGGTGAAAACAAATTTCAGTTATTTATGTTTAAGTTACATCAACTTTTTCTCGTACTTAATAATAAAAATATTCTAAGCTAATTTCGGGAAATCCCTTATTTTCAATTATCTGTCAGCAGTCCCTTTGTACAACCACAAAGAAAACCTTTTAGTTTATTTTCTGTTTACATGTTTATATGTATGTCATCATAAAACATTAATTGTCTGCACATACCTATCTAATTATATTCTCAAAATATGAGCTTACAAGATTTGCTTAAATGCTTTAATTGCAAATATATTTATTATTTTCTCTAGCTCTTTGCTTAGATATTTCTCTAAATGCGAAGAATCCGAAAAATTATTTTTACTAATTTCATTTGCGTCTCTGTTTGTTAATGATCCATATTTTCAATATTTTATATTGTAGTAATTTTAAAAATATTTACAGTTCTATTTAACATGTATTTTCTAATATGTCAAAAAAAACTGACGCTTTTACGTCTTGAATTATTCAGTAAAATTTTGTTTAAAAAATAGCATCTCTTTCTTATGATTAATATTAATTTTATGTTGTTTAACTAAAATAAGCAAGTACCTTTGATTTTATAACCTAATGCATTTTATCTGTCCTCAGGCTGTTCAATATCTGGCCCGGAAGGTTGTAACCTATTCATCTACCACTTACCTCAAGAATTTGGCGACGCTGAACTGATGCAAATGTTTCTTCCTTTTGGAAATGTCATCAGCTCTAAAGTTTTTATTGACCGTGCCACAAATCAGAGCAAATGTTTTGGTAAGTAAACACACACAAATATAGAAATTACAACCACTATGATACAGTGAATTATAACAATTTAGTTATCTGAATTACTTAATAATTTATCGTGTTAAATACATCAGCTTGTAAAATTAAAATTCTTTGTAGTTTTAATCTACGTGAAAAGAAATAAAATATCTATGCAACAGGCGTGTAAAGGTATTAAGAACATTCAAATTAATTCGAAATATGTTCCTAAAAGTATTAAATAAAGTCAAGTAATGCTTTTTGATACTAAAAATCTGGGTATATGAAAGAAATCTTCATTTATTTATTTTATTTATTTATTTATTTAATTACAATATCCAACGGGCAATGCCCTGTTACAGGATAAGGTTACAAGCTAAAAAAAAAAGTAATAAAAATAGGTGAAAGAGATAAAAACTATTCTTAACCAAAATAAATATCACAAAACATAATATCTAAAACAAACAGGGAACAGACATTTAATATTAAAAAGCTATAATACAATACAAACAAATACAAAAATATATTTATACAAACATAAAGTTCAAATGAAAACTTTTTTAATTTGAGAAATACTGGAGCAGAGTATATCAATGCGAGATTCAATATTAGAATAACCAACAATCATTTGGTGAATCGGAGACGCTTTATATAAATTAGTACGATGATTCTTGATCGCGAAGAGGTGTAAATGTCGGGTATACGTTCTAGGAATATGAAAATTTATCATTTGTAATATATCTTCACATATAATGTTATTATTCAAAATCTTGTATAAGAAAATAACAGAATTTAACTTGCGTCTTTGAGACAAGCTACTCATATTGAAACGCTTGAAAAATGCTTCCTGAGGAAACCCTTGAGGAGGATACTGGCCATCAATAAAAAATGTAGCTGATTTAAAGAATCGGCGTTGAATTTTCTCAATAGATATTATGTGTGTAGCGTAGATAGGTGTCCAGACTACAGAGGCATACTCAAGTTTAGATCTAACAAATGTATTAAATAACAAACAAAAAGTATCAATTTTCATGAAATTGCACATGTTCCGAACAATAAAACCCAAACTTTTGTAGGCATTCATTACCACAATTTCAATATGCTTGACAAAAGATAATTTAGGGTCAAAATATACGCCCAAATCTTTAATAAGGTCAGGTCGTTGAAGGGCAAACCCATTCAGACTATACTCATACTGAATTTGATCGCATCGTCGACTAAAAGTCATGACATTACATTTGGTAGAATTCAGAGGCAGCCTATTAGCAATGCACCAAGAGTTAATAAAATCTAGATTACGTTGAAGATTGATGGCATCAAATACATTATCAATTTGAGAAAATATTTTTATATCATCGGCGTATAACAAATAACGCACATTCAGTTGAGAAGTGATATCATTAATAAATAATGTAAACAACAAGGGACCAAGAATAGAACCTTGCGGAACACCTGAAGTCTGGGCAAATTCAGTAGATTTAACACCAGAAATTTGAACAAACTGAGTTCTGCCAGTGAAATATGACTTCATTAGTTCAAGAAAGTCTGACGATAGTCCAAAAGCGCTTAATTTATCCATTAAAAGTCCATGGTCGAGACGGTCAAACGCCTTCGAAAAATCTGTATAGACTACGTCTACTTGGCTTCCCCGATCTATAGCCTCGCTGATAAACTGAGTAATGCATACTAAATTAGTGACTGTCGACCGTCCTTCCATAAACCCATGCTGTTCAGGAAGTATAATATTTTTTAATTGAAAGGAGAGGACACGATGTATAGCAGTTTCAAAAACCTTACTGAAGTTACACAGTATTGCAATAGGTCGATAATTAGCGATATCATTTTTACTTCCTTTTTTATATACGGGGCATATTCTTGAAATTTTCCATTGATCAGGGAATGTATGTGATGTCAGAATTAAGTTAAATATGGTGAAAAGAGGCTCTGAGAAGACGTTAGCACAGTCTCTAATCAAGAAAGCGGGTATTAAGTCCGGACCCATAGTCATTTTAGGCTTTAATTGTTTGATAGAAAATAATACATCATTGAGAGAAATAGAGTTATATGCAATAGTAAGTGCATTGTTATACGAACGCTTGTCTTTATTGAAACTACTAGATGCGATAAACGAAGTTGAAAAATAGTCTGCAAAACCATCAGCGATTTGTTTGTTGTCACTACACGATATATTATTGTAAACCATTGTAGATGGGATAGTTGAGTTACCTCTCTTTGAGTTGACGAAGGTCCAGAACTTTTTTGGATTTGATTTCAATTCTAATTCCGTAGCAGAGATATAATTTGAGTAAGCTGTTTGACTTTTGTATTTCACGGCGGAACGCAACCGCTTATATGTATTATAATCTTCCCCATTTAAGGAGGACCGATATGTGTGCCACGCATTATTCTTCAGCTTAATAGATCTAGATAGATAAGTTTGTGTTGAATAATTATCTACAATCAAAAACAACACAGGCCCACAAAATAAAAAAAAAGTTCAATACCAGAGAATGAGTAGGTACATAGATCTTGTGTATCTTTTGATGCTGAATCCGAATCCGCAGAGCATTTTTAGTAAAACTCTAAAATATCACCTAAAATAGGGTGAAATAATAAGGATAAGGTAAAGCTATATAATGAAAAGCAACAACTTGTAAGTACCTAACATAAAATAATATTTTGAGCGTTAGAAAGAAATATATGCAAATTAAATCCACACCCACCCTACGAGGGGGTTAATTTCACGTCTAAGATCAAATAACGAATGTTACTGCAGAACAATGTGAAAAATCATAACCCTGTATCTTATACTACCAAATATACAAATGTAGATTGATAGATAACGTACCAAAATAATATAATATAACTTATTCCTCAAAGGGTCCATTTTCATACAAGGGTCACACATTTTTCTATTCAATATTTTTGCCTGATTTTGTTACTGCGAGTTTTTGGGGTCGCTCGGTCGCTGATTACGAATAAAAAAGATGGCGGTTCCAATATGGCGCACGTAAAAATCACAAAAAAAACATTCAAAATTTAAAGATTATGGCTGAAACTTATTACTTTGGTTTTGAAAGTCACCACCAATCACGAATATAAGGTTTTAATTTGGAAATTCTTAAATCCAAAGAGATACATTATGAATGTTTCAAAATTGAGTCATTTGAGTAAAAATAGGCAAATGTCAAATATTGAGGAACAAGGAATAAATAAAAATTCGGTTTGCAGTATTGCTGTCTCTTTCAAATACTTTTACCAATTCCAGTAGGGAAATTTAAAATACATAAAATGAGTAAGATTTTAAAGCTGAACATAATATAAATTTGATCATAAAAGTACCAAACTATTTCAACTAAATTCTAACTGGCACTTGCAGGGATGACAAACCGCACCCCTTTAGTTAGAAAGAGACAACACACTGCAAATATAGGCTGTGTTCGAATGGTCAGACTAGTTGGGTAAAATTTCTTTTGTCAAACAATTCGCTAAACGGCCTTTAGTAACTGTATTAAAACCAGACCAATATTCCCAATCAGCTGATTGGGCTGACCAACAAAATATTTGTCCGCTGAACGACTTTGACCAGTCCGACCATTCGCTGAACACAGCCATAGTAACAAATAAATTCAGTAAAGTATTTTTGAGGGAAACGCCCAAACGCATCGTTTTTTATTTTCAGTTACCAATCTTTGAGCAAAAAATGCGCTAAGTACGAACTTTCTATAAAATGGCGAATGCGCCAGTGCATATAATATCTGATCAAGATAAATAGATATAACCATTAACTATGTATATACATAATCACAAACTGTTTAGAGTTAAAAGACATACCATACCATATAGAGGAAATAGTGAGTAATTTCCCAGATTTGAGTAGGTCTTGTAAAAATATTGCCACAAGAGTATATTTTTTTCCATTTAAGTGTCAAAGATCAATTTCTTTGTATAACTTTTTTGCGTAAAAGCTATGTACTTAATTAGAATTTCTACTAATGTGCAGATAGCTACTTCAGCAATCTTGACCTCCAAAAAAATTATATTCCTACTTCTTTTGTTATTATCATTTTTAATTTTAATAGTTATTTGGGTTAAAAAACATAAACGTTTACAAACCACGTGAACGCTGAGCTTAGGCAACCAACATAGAAGGGCTGGTACTGGTAACGAAAATTCCCTAAATCTTGGCGTCACCAATACTAAAGATTCGTTTACAATGAACAAAGCGTTATGTCTAGCCTTAAGATAATGCGATTGCTGATTGGTTCAATAGAAGTACCTGAAAAATTACATCAATCGCACCAATTACTGGTCTCGTGGCTTGTAATCATTTATGAAAGCTCTATATTTCTCCTCTGTATGTCAGTATACATACATATTTGTTATCGATACAACCAACCGTTTTCAAGATGATCACAGCATCGAAGATACCATCCTATTTACGTTACATGGTAATAGTAATAAATACTTAAAAATCGATTATTTATGCTAAAGAAATACATATTAAATATTATTTGGCATTGTGCATTTATTTTGCTACATGAATAATGAATTAATGAATTCAGTTTGTTATCCGAGGACGGTTGCTTACCGTTTCTTGAACACCCTATATCAAGAAAGAGAGTATTATTTTTCTGTACTAGGTATCACTGAATTGATGTTGCAAACATTAATGCCAGGTAAAATAGTGAAAATTTCTATCAGCGTATGTCCAAAAATGTATATTAAACTAGAAGTGTCTACAAAACTTTTATACAAAGGGTATCAAACACTATAAACACTTTTATGCAGAGCTCTTCAACATTAAACCAACCCTAGTAAACATAATAATACTAATAATAAACTACTAAATCTAGAATTTTAAATAAAAATAAAAAATGTTTTCGATATGTCGAAATTTAAATGTCTCGATATAATAATATTGCCATGTATCTGAAGGTTGCTTTTGTATTCAATAGTAATATATAGTCACATTATAACACATAAAATTATCAGTGGGATATCTCCACTTGGCGGATCCAAAAAATTATATTACTTGGAACATATAAAAATATTCAGGGTGTTTCTAAAATAGGGTTCCAAACTTCTGCTGCGTTTATAACTCATTAAATTAAGCCAAAAAGTTTCTATTAACATGTGCCCTAAAACGCACCCTTAGGAAGTTATATGTCCTTAAAAGGGCTCAAACAAAACTGTTTTTTTTTTTTTCAAATAAATTGCAGTTATGAAGGATCTGATCATTTAATAAATAATTTAGGACATAAAGACTATTTAAATTTAGAGTTACACTTACTAATTAAAGAGCTAATTACTACTGCAGACAATAGCTAAATGTGAAATAGAAAATAATGGGATTAAAATTTTCAAACTCAATTTACTCGAAAACCATTGGAAATATCGATTTGGACAGAGATAATATTTTTTACGTAAAATTGTTAAGATTTTATAAATCTGTAGAGAGAATTGTAAAAAAATTGAAATAAAAAAAATTACGGGCCGAAAACCCCCTTCACCAACCTAAATGGGACGCATATGATTTGCATGTCGAAAAACGGAGTAGCCCATGTTATTTAACGTAAAAAGTTATGTAAGACCCATACATTTTTTTCTATTTATTTGCGACCGTTTTGTCAGTAACAGAAAAAAAACAGTTTTGTTTGAGCCCTTTTAAGGGCATATAACTTCCTAAGGGTGCGATTTAGGGCACATGTTAATAGGAACTCTTTGTCTTATTTTAATGAGTTATAAACGCAGCAGAAGTTTGGAACCCTATTTTAGAAACACCCTGTATTTGGAGCTCTGTGAAATGTTTTAATGTTTTCAAGTACCTACAGAGCCTTTATAAATCTTTACAAGCTATTTAACCGATGAACTCAGGCAACCAACATTTCAGTGCTGGTATTGGCAATGAAAATTCTCTAAATCATGGCGTCACCAATGTTAATGATTCATTTACGGTGGACAACGACAAACTGTTATGCCTACGCTCGAGATAATGTGATCACTGGTTGGTTGAATAGAATCTTGTGAAAAATTATGCCAATTACAATCAGTGAAACAGAATGTTGCATTATAATGTAATTTTGATCTTATTCTTCTAATTTTACTGAAATTTAATTAACTGTTCCAAACAAAATTACTGGTCACGTGGCTTGTAATCATTTATGTACATATTTGATTAAAAATAAGTGTCGTTAAATTTAATACCCTTAATGTACAGACTCACCCAGAACTGATTATTAGCCAACATTACAGGGAAACGAAAGAAACAAATAGGAAACCGTAAGGCAGATCTTTTTATTATATTATTGGCACTGTCATAGCTTGTATAGATGTTTTCTAAAGTGACAGTGTCCCATTATAAGTTCCATCGCTTTCCTTAGCCGAATTTTATTCAAGTTTAGCAACTTATTCTCCATAACTTTCTTTGCTTGGCTTTGCCCTGGTCTGAAAACCCAGTATTTCCTACGTCCTGATTCAGTCCATTTGTCCAGAGCCCCCCTGATCAGACTGGAAGATGTGCCACACAAAGCTCTGAACCATTGAATGGATCTCTTTGTAGCAAGTTCATCCGCTGTCTTATTTCTGTCAATGCCTTTGTGTCCTGGCACCCAACACAATCTAACTCTTTTAGTGGTAGTCAGTTCAGTCGGCATTTATAAACATTCCCACACAAATGACTTTCACATGGTATAAAAAATATTTATGAAATTGAGAAAAATAATTTCGATGCCACCACAGCTCTTGGTAGTTTAAACTTATTAAGATGAGCATTAAGTGAAGTACCTATAAACATTTGTGCTTGCGGTTTCCTATGTACTCCTAACAATTTCCTGTAGGTAATGGTGACCAACCATCAGTTCTGGGTCACCCTGTATGGTAAAACAGCAAGGGCTAATAAAAAAAGGGATGATTTGAAATGAAATGAATGAATGAAAAACTAATGGTACTGCAAGTATCTAATGCTGTTGTGCATTTCAGGGTTTGTGTCTTTTGATAACCCGGCAAGTGCTCAAGCTGCCATCCAGGCAATGAACGGCTTCCAGATCGGGATGAAGAGACTCAAGGTTCAGCTGAAGAGGCCCAAGGATGCCAACAGGCCCTACTAACCCTGGCCCTCAGAACTGTGGGTGCCCCAGATCAGGGTACTCATCCGCCACTAGTATACTAGATACACTTTATATAACACTTAGTTTGTACTTAATAAAAACATGCCTGGTTACACTCCGAGCACACGCAGTCCGGTAGCGCCACCAAACCGCCTCTCCCGAGAAATTCCAAATGGGCTGTGATTAAATAACAAATCAGTGTTTGATTGTACAGGCCGTTTTGTCTTCTCGTTCGTGAAATGTATAATTATACTATTTTGAGACTACTCTAATTATTTGTTGTAAGTATATGTGTGTTAACTGTAATCGAATAAGGTAAAACTCTAGGGGTGGTGGCGCCGCCGTCTGTTCAGTTGCCAAATTAGTCCGGGCATGTCTCCTGTGATGCTATGCTAGTCACAGCGGCTCGGAGTCATATTCATAGGAAACATATGCTGGTCAGGGCTCCAGCAGTTTTTAATTTATAAGAGAGCCATTGACATACTATTTATATATATTTAATTAACAATACCTATACAAAATAGTATATAATATTTCTACTAAAACTTAAGTAACATAATCCTTACAAAGTACCAACTATATATTAATCTGTAAATTTGTAGGGGTAGTGATTTAGACTAGGCAACCAGAGTGGTCGAGATACCATGGGGTATAACCATTATCGATTTTAGAACAATGCGTTCACGATTTATGAATTTTATCAAATGTATAAGTTTATTATATCAAAATGCAAGTTGTGCGTTTTCGCCAAATAGTTGTTGAGAAGTTAGTTTACGCTTTGCGGGACAAGCAAATCCCACGCCGGGAGAGAGAAGTGGAGGTGACACTGCTCGGCTGGGCCACTCTAGTCAAATTATCCAGCCACTGGCTGCAGATTAGTTAATATGATTAGAATTAATTTAGTCCTAAGACATATATTTAGTGAACATATATAATATTTATTGAATCTAATGTATTTAGATATACATTTATATACTTTTCGTTTGTTTATTGGCTGAGAAACTATCGTGCAATATTAACAGATTGACTGATACATCTTAAGATGAACCGTACTTATTTCTATTTATCGTTTTTAGAAAAACTCTACAAGCAAATAGTTTGCTATATATTTTTACTTAGATTTTCTCACGTTCGTTTTATATCTGCGTCACGGAACGGGGCAGGTGCATTAGAGGATCCAATCTTGAGTTCTTGCTACAATTTTTAATACAATTATCCAATTCAAAAGTGTTCAATACAAGTTTACATTGACCGAAAAGAAATTGTCTTTTTACATTTTTTACATTTTCCAGAATGAACTTAAAAGTAGAACTAGGTTCTACTCAAGTAGGAAAAACTCAAGTTTTTCCTTCAGTTTAGGCACTACAGTATTCGCTCATAAAAATGTAACGTATTTGTAATAGCAAATTTAAAAGTATTTATTAGTGGTATCCCTTAAACAGTTTTTCTTTTTCTGAGTAGTTGCTGCACTGCAAATTAAAAAGTCAGTAATATAAAACCCTGCGCCATAAGGTTCAGTTAGGGGTTGTTTTAACAAACTTACTTTTGCCCATATTTGTGCATTACTAAAAACACTAGGTATATGTTAATTATTCACCAAGTCCTTCTAGAACTTTGGCACCTCCTAAATAGTACGCATTTATCCTGTGGACGTCCTATGGCTGATTGCTCTAAATATTTTGAACATCCATAATTTATCTGTTTGAACTCCAGATGAATTTCAATCGACATTTTAATGAGATATAGATGTCACAACTTTTCATATGATATGTAGCATACATCTGTGTTAATATAAAATGGACATATCATTCATTCACTATCATTCACAAGTCAAAATAAAAGATTCTTGATTATTAAAAAAAAAGCTTAATATAAAATGAGTGGAGTATGTATATACATAAACACAAGGATATCTTAGGCATTCCTTTAGGGTAGATATATCCTTTTGGTTAACAAAAAAGGGTGTTTTATGGACTTTAATTTATGGCTATCCGTTTTATTAACGAAATGGCATCACCATGGATATGCATACTAAGGATGTCCATCATCATAATTTCAGAAAAGGGCATCTTATGGATTTACTTAGGTCAGAAATCCATTTGGATGTCCTTGATTGCTATATCCCTTTAAGCAAGAAAAACCATAGATGTATGTTGTTAAAATAACATCCATAAATATAGCAGATGTCCATGCATATATCAAAGCAGAAATATTCATATTTTGAACCAAAAAAGGATAAAAAAAATCTCTATAGAACTTCATGTACTATATGGGTTGTGTCGGTATTGAATTTATAGATTTAGTTGAGTTGTTTTTGTACAAATAAGTTTTCTTGTTAACATTTCCGTGTTAAATGCATTATACATAGAAATACTTACAAAATTGAAGAAACAATTTTATTATTCAGAATCAAATATTAGGAGGAACATCAAGGTACCTATACAAAATTGGACCTTTAAACTTATCTTAATCACAAATAAAAAACTTCTTATATGGACAACATTAATTTTTAAAATTATATATAAATATTTCAGATCTTCTCATTGTAATCACAGTAAAGTATGCAAAAATCAGTTTCTTAATAACCCCAAACTGATATGTGCGGTGGAAGGGTTCATTGTTTAATATTTTAAAACTTGCTAGTTTGCAATGAGGCAAAATACCCAGAAAAAGAAAAACTACAAAAACACTTGTTGAAGGAAAAGTAGTTTCCAGCCACCACACTTTAGAATAGTGTAAAATGTAGTTTGGCGTAATTAGTTGTGAAAAAGTTTTACAAGTCGTGTTTTTAAGTCTGTGGCGCAAATAGAAAATGAACGTTATATTAACATTATGCGTCATATGCTGTTTTTCTTTAGTAGTAGTGCATTCCACGCTTGCTAATGACATTCCTTCGGCGCTGGAAGTAAAAGATTATATATTTTTTAAGTACTAACCAGAGCGGGAGGGAGGGTGGCAGCTCCCAACCTTTCTAATCTAATAAAAACACAACTGTGGTCTCCCCAATCAGATAAGAACGGAATATGTCTAAACGCAGCGAAGTGATTCAAGGATACAGGGTATGTTTTTGCAATTATTTGTGTAACTGTTTCTTCATCGTGAGGAGGCGGTCATCGTGTTATTCTGAGTCCGCATCCGCAGCGAGTCGCATTCTCGCTATAAAACCATCTCATCCCATGCTGTATATATATTGGGGTCCATTCAATGCACCGTTTTATACAAATATAATGGTCCTTTCTCTGTCACAGACAAGAAGTGTACCTGTCGTCAAAGAAACAAATTCATCCATTTTTATATTTTAGAGACTAAAAAAAATAAACAAGCGCTTATATATCATCATTGTTCATTGTTCTTTCTGTTTATCGGTCTAGTTCCAGTTATGCATCGACCCATCTCATCATCATTATCATTATTTTAGCTACGAGTAGGGTAGGTTTAGATCTAGTCATTATTTAAAACGTGTATGGCATTTATTACAAAGAAAGAGCACAACCGAACCAAGCAAAACGGAGGTACTCATACTCACAAATATTGGAAACTTGCATAGTCTGACAATTTACCAGTAGCTTTGTGCTTTATTTACATTAGGTAATTAATTAAACTACCAAGTTCATATCGATATCTCTTGAACGATTATTTATAAAAGTATTCAGAAGTTTTATTCCATGATTTTATAACGAAACTGGTTTAAGTTAATAAATACCTCAACAGTTTTCATAATAACAACCCTTTAAGTTGTACGATTTTAAATTTTGAATTGAACGGTACGATTCAAATGTTAAGAACATCTCAGACGATGGTTTTACATATCAAGTGTAAGTAAAATATGAGTACAATGCTGTAATCAGTATTATACAAATACTTACATTTAAAATATAAAAAAGGGGAACGTTCTTTTATTATTTTTCAAATGGTTCAGCTTTATGCAAAAATTATTATTAAGGAACAAGGGCATTTTTGTTTTTCATCCCCATTTGTTTGCATTCTTCTCACCATCAATAAGAATAATAAACTTCAAATATTACTAGTTTCTTATACAGTGAAAAAAAAATATATGTGCGATCGAGAGAAAATTATTCATAAAAAGTAACGTAAAAAGTGCCTATCAATATGATTATTATTTTTAGTTTCTGAAATACAAGATGTTCAAGTTTTGCTTTATTTTCGCATTTTTTCCCGAAACCGTTTTAATAATTTAAATCAAAGGACCACACACCAAATCAATGGAAAATGGATCTCTGTCAAACTGGATTGGTAGAAAAAATGTCTTTGTTAAAGAAGTGTTCTATAAGAGTTGTTGGGTTTAGGATGAAACAAGAATTTGATAAACAAAATCAACTCGCTTACTGTAAGTCTCAAAAGTAAATTACATTACATTTCGATATATTAAAAACTAGCCATTTCTGGATTTTGTGACCTGGACAACTTTTGTTCGGAAAGCCTGCAGCAATCAAAAATAAAAATTTCCATATGAATAATTCCGACTTGACCTTAAAATGACCTTTGACCATGACTAAGAGTCAAGATCGCGGTAAGGTGCCTCATCCCAGACTTTATGACCCTGAGAACTTTTGTTCGGTAGACCAAAAGCTATGATATAATACAATTTCGGTCAGTTTGATGGGGATCCATTTTCCATTGATCTGGTACATAAAGAAAGTGGCATACATATTTTTTACTATTATTTTAGCGCCTGCTTGGACACACACCACTGGTTAACTCTGGTTTTATTTAAATTACTAAGGTCGTTTTGGAAATATTTTGAAAAAAAAAACAAATTTAAAAAACTGTAAAATTGCTGTATCATGAATGAAGCAAGAACGAGACTATTTGTATTATTTTTATAATTTCCACAAGAAATTAATGGCACATGTTCTTTAAAACACCATATGTGTTTATATTCGATTAGATACAGTGCAGTTCAGTTATATTCATGCGACAGTAAAATTCTGAGGTAGTATAAATAGATGTAATAAGCAAAATGGAAATGATATACATATATTCAGGGTTATTCCTTACTTTCATATTTAGAAGAAAATGGTAGTCCAAATATTTTAAAAGCTTTTTTGTAGTTTTTTTTTTAATAGAATATAATTTTATATATTTGGATAGAGGATTTCTCAGGAATCCGAATTAGTCCGACAAAAGGTCTGCTTAAGAACTAACTGCAACCTCCTTCATGACCTTATGGCATTCTCTCTTTTGACTATATTTCCATTACTATTAGAACTATTGAACCTGCATAACTATAATCTTATTTGAAAAAATACAAACGTAGTGTGTATCTTTGAGAGGGAATATTAAATTATTTTTTAAATATTGCTTTGAAATCACAAGAACATTTTCTAAAACGTTGGTCTATGCCATTTTTTTCTGAGTACAAATGTAAAATGGTTTATTTTTTATACTTTCTTGAATTATATATACCAATCTTTTATTATATTGTCCAAGCAAGATATCGCTGCAAGTCTGACAAATATGCAGTGATGACTGGTGAAAATTAAAGTCTTCATATTCTGATATTTTTTAGATGGCCCACATTGTTAATTGTCATGACTAAAAAATGTTGCCTAATAAAAAAAGGGTAGGTAGCTTCCTCTTTGATGTCATAAAGTATTGCACCCGTATCTTCAAACAATTTTTTTTACTTTCAAGAAATTTACTTTTTTTTAATTACAGCATTATGAATTTAAAAAAATTTAATAATAGTATCAAATCAAAGTTTAAACAGGCATAACTATGAAGAAAATTTAATTTCCTTAATAAAAAAATATCTATCTATCTATCAGATGATTATGAAAAAAAAAAAGATTGCATATAATTCGATGTTTTTCGAGATCTTAAGGGAAGCTGTCCTAGCTAACAAATTTTTTATTTCGCAAATTTCGTTCAAAATTTTTTCATCTACGAGTGTAGAAATCATCCCAAAAAAAAATTGTGTTTCATGTTTCGTTAACAAAATATGACTTCTTCGATATTATCCAGTTGCCACTGCAAACATGCAAGCTGTATCATAAGAATTATTTTTGTATTCACTATTTCCTTCAAGTAGTACAAATATAGTAACTACAAACAATTGAAAAGATGTTCTGAAAATTAATATTAACTTGGTAGTTTAATTCTATTCTATCCCCAACATTAGATGCTGGGACCAAGTAAGTATTTTTCTTTCTTTCCTTCAGTGCTGCTCTAAGTTATAAGACATAGATCTAGTCATTTGACCTATTGATGAACAATTTTATCATTAGGCGTTTTGTACAAATTTCAGTCTAGCGTTTAAATATCAAACTGCTGTTGCAATGCAAATATTTATTTATTTATTTATTTATTATATTTCTCTAGTCATAAGAATTTATTTACTATTGCTTTTAAACGATTCTATGCTTTAATTATATTAGTATGTTCTACTGATGATTAACCGTAAACCAAAGAAGTCTCATTTACGCTTGTCTACGTACAGTATTACGCTGTTAAGCACAGATCGATAATAAGCAGAGCACGGGTGCGAGTACCCAGTTATCCAGTATATCATATTCAAAAACAAAATTCCATCAAATTTATAGGACATAGCCATACTCCGTTGCATGTCAGTTTTATTACATTTTACACAAAATTAATATAAATAAAATTATTATTATAATATTATATTATATATAATAGTAGATAATTAAATTAAATATTTATAACCTGCTAAACTTGTAATACGATATTGTAAAAACATATGATTAAATTAGACAATGAATGCGTGAACTTTCTATCCATGTATGAAATTATCATATTTTTTTTACACTGTCAATTTTGCTGGTGTTTTCTATTTCATACAGTGAATAATAATGAGAAATCATTAGTTTTACAATGTAACTTTTAATATATCAGGATTATATATTGTATTATACAGTACCTATTGTAATTTAATATTTTGACAAGGATTTGCCAGTCCAAATATTACAAGTATCATACAAAGACATGACAGAGCGCACTTAAAAATGCTCAAAACTTTACATAATCTATTATTGGAAATCTTTTGAAAATAGTCATGTCACTATTTATTATATTATTATTATTATTACTATTATTATTATTACTAACTTTTCCCAAATAAATCCAACTCAAATTTTTACAACTTATATAAATATTAAGAATTTGAATTTAGTATGGCAAATTAAAGTTATTGGTTTGGATTTATTTAGGGAAGCTACCCAGTTCATATGAAACTTTATAAAAGAATTATAAATTAATAAAGTTAAATATAACGCATATCTTTTAAGTGTTTTTCTTATTTATTTTTCTGACAATGACAACTCAACAACGACAAAAGAAAAATTGGAAAAACATCGTGTACCATGCAGGCATCAGTAATAGTAACAATTCGACAGTAATGGCAATAATATTTGAACAATTTTGTAATAATAGTATTTAATATGAACAATATTGATTAATTGTAGATAACAACAATTTGATAACTGCAAGATGGCAACTAAACAATGATAAAGACAAAGAATTCAGTATATTTAATTAGGACAACTTTTGACTCGACAATAACAATCCCTTCAAAATGCTCCATCAGTGCTGTGGTGGAATTGAAATCTGCTATTAGAAGGGCAATAAGTATATTACAGAAATCAAATAAAAGCAGTGGTGCAATTACTTCAACAACAAAATTACTGAAACTTTATATTGCCTGAAAATTATATTTTATAAAATATCTCCAAAATGTTTTCAGATATTCATACTTTAAACATACACTTTAGAGCCTCTACAGACATCAATTTATGCAGTATTATTAAAATCTCACGTTTTACCTGACAATTTTAGGGGATATCACTATAAGATTTTGGATCCAATGCTCAATTTGTAAAAAATTGGAAAAAACTCTCCTGACATATTTTGCTGCAATAAATTTGTGAATAGAAAAATAACGAAGTAAAATAAAGACTTAATTATTCATGACTAAACAATGAAAAAAGAAGCGAAATATTGATTTTTATAACTAAAAAACGCAAGAAAGACAAAGAAATTTTTTTTTATAAATTTGCTTAAGACAAGATGTACAGTTTCCATATCTGATGCTTCTGATTCCAAAGTAAGTATGATCATTCTGAACATATGTATTTATAATCTTTATTTGCTTCTAAAAAATACTGATTCTAGCAAACAAATTAAAAAAAAAACGTAAATCAAACCATTTTTGAGAAATTTAGATTGACATTGAACTATAATTATTCTGTATGCCTAGAAAATTTTTTACTAAAAATTTATTTAATCGAGTTTAATCTCCAAAAAATTTTAAAGCAGCTTTTTGCTGGTGGGTGACAGACATGAACCTTTTTTCTAAACTATTTTCCAAGTAACAAAAACCATGTTCTTAATACAAATTTAGGGGACCCGTATTTTTAATTTTTGCCAAGTGGCCCCCTCTTTCGGAGTTACAGCCCCCTGAAATCCCCTAAGAATAGTCTCTTTGATATCTCAGAACTCTTTTGTACAAGAATCACTAAATTTGGTACACAGGGGTTTCATGACATATGGAATCTGATAGTGCTACGCCTTTTGACGGGGAACCCCCTTAAGACACTTTTTCGAGCCTCCTTGTCCTTGCAACCAAAAAAATTTGATCGCATATTTGAATTTCTTAAAAATTATTAGTTCTCTAGAAAGCCATTTATTTAGAAACTTTTTGTCTCTTGATATTTTTTTCCTAAAACGCTGTTTTCCAAAAAAAAACGATCACAATATGCATTCGATCACATTTTGACATTTTTCTCAAAAACATTGCATTTTACAAAAAAAGTATCGAGACAAAAAAGTTTCTAAATTTAATGGCTTTCTAGCATACTAATAATTTTTAAGAAATTTAAATATGCGAACATTTTTTTGGTTCCAAAGAGGGCCCACGAAAAAATGACTTAAGGGGATTCCCCGCCAAAAAGGGTAGCGCTATGAAATTACACATGTCATAAAACCCCCGAGTACCAAATTTAGTGATCCTCGTACAACAGGTTCTGCGATATAAAAAAGACTATTCATAGGGGCGGATTTTAGGGGGCTGTAACTTCGAAAGAGGGGGCACTTGGCAAAACTAAAAACTAATTTGTTTTAAGAATTTGTGGACAAATTTGGTTGCATTTATTTAGGGACCTTGTAATGAAGAGAAAACTATACTAAACTGGCTGACACTCATTTATGATAGTTGACCATGTATTGTATATCTTTTATGTTTTATAAAACAAAACATAGAATTGTCATTTGATGTTTTTAAATTGTCAAAGGTATAAAGGTCCCTGTCACTAACAGTAAAAATGGGTAAAACTAAGAAGAAACACTCGAAATATCCCGCCATTGTTGGTGGACAAGTCCTAGATTCTTCTATGGATTCCATGGAAGAGACGAGGTTCAGAAAAAGAAATCAAAAACTTACCATTTCACTTTCAGAGAAGTTACACTTCACCTATAGTGAGGTGGAATGTCTTTTATTGATATTTTACAAACTACAGAAAGAAAGCAAAGAATTCAAACTTGGGGTTGATAAGACATTGTTTCGAGATGTCTTACACTGTTCTCTAAAGATGACTGAAGATTACTTAATGGACAGAATATTTTATACACTAGATAAAGGCCCCAGTCCGTACATGACGATGGAAACGTGGGCAGCTAGTTTATCTTTGTTTTTAAAGGGAACACTGGAAGAAAAAATGCAGTATTGCTACAAGGTAAGCTGCTGATTGATAAAAACGTATTTGTCTGTAAGGTAAAATTGCTTCAAATCGTAAGGTGTATGACGCACTTGGTGAAAAATTATTGGGAAGGGAGACAATGTTCCATCTACTAAGGAAATCACTTCTGAGTTTAAGTGGTGAAGAGGACGCGGAAGAATCAGCTAAAGTAAGTTAAAATTCTTAAAGGAAAATAGATAATTATTAATGAAAAATTTTAAGGAAATGATAGAAGTATTAACAAAGAAAATGGATATAGACAGGGACGGAAAAATTTCATTTAATGATTATAGGCAAACGATATTGAAACAACCGATGCTACTGGAGGTGTTTGGGCAATGCTTACCTACTAGAGAAAATATACATGCATTCATGACAACATTTGCACAAAAACCTGGGAAAATGTAACACCAGAAATAAAAGCCTTCATATATTTGTTTTGCAATATTTTAAAATAACACGAAATTCTATTAATTTGATATAGCAATTTTTTTAAATTAGTTATTGGATCGGCTTATATATTTTGTTGCTTTATAAAGGATGTTTAAGAAATAGTTGGAAAAATTCAATTTTACGGGGGGGTTGTTTTTCACATAAATTTTCTTCATCAGTCTCCCCTAAAAAGATGAACTCCTTTTAAATCACAGAGTTACAAAAATGAAATACCACTAGAAAAAAAAAAGATGGAATAAAAATAATTTAATAGAAAAGCATGTCAACTTGTTCGTTAAATGAAAACTTCCAGGCCATTTTCAAAACACTTGGCAAACAATTACTAAAATTAATTGACTTTTCTTCCTGATCATCAAGTTTAATGTTTAAATTCATTTTGAATTTTCGATGATTTTAAATAACACATCTATTATTATCAGCATATTTTGGGTTCCTTTCCACGCCCCTGCTCTATGTCAGTTCTTATGCGAAACACCCTGTAGAATTATTGCTGTTACACATGTCAAGTGTAAATCAAGTTAATTGTTTCTATTTCTCATAAAAAAACATAAAACACACCACAGAAATGAGACAACCCCCAAATCCAAAAGAACGGAGTAGGGATGAGATCTCTCTCACACAATAAGCCGTTTCTCACTCTCTACAGTTTTCGGCCATTATTATTATTGTTTGTGCATCAATCGTAATAGTGACGTTTACTATTAACATTAATAAAAAAAATATACACGATATACACTGAATAACACTAAATATAATATAGATGGTAGAAGTGAAATTTCTTTATGGAAAATCTACTAAAATAATCCTAGGAATAATTTATATGGCAAAACAACGTTTGCCGGGTCTTTCTAGTTTTAAATATAAATTTTAAAGCTGAAAAATATATTAAATAATAATGGTATAATTTATACCATGGGCCTAGCTAGGGGTGTGCATGGCCCACCCCGGAAAGCCCAGAAAAACAGATGCAATAATATCATCTCATCCATATCGGCAAGCCGCTGACTGCACTTTTTTTTAGAATCTAATGAAACAGTGCTTAGGTTTTGAAATATTTTATCGGTAATAAGTTGATTTTCAAAAGGCCTCCATAACCTGGGCACACTCCAAACAAAAATCCTAGCTACACCGCCCATAAAAAAAAAATTAAATTTCAACACTGAGAAATTTCATTAAGTTTTGGAAGAACTGAGCTGATATGTCAGCTTAACGCGTGATTAGTGAGTTTATATAGATTATAATAGATTATAACTTTTAATTGTTCAACACAGATATCTTTCTTATTTTAGGAGATATAGAAATGATTGAATGAGCAAAATGTGCAGAATTTTAGACCGATCATGGATTCGTTTTTAAATTTAGAAAATTCCAAATAGTTCCGAAGATATTTGAAGGAAACCGATTTTGTTATTTCTTTTTTTATCATATTTCACTTTTTTTTCAAAATTTTCGGACAAAAATGTGTAGTCGGATATAAAATGATGAGAATCGATTTTTCATGTCAGTATTAAACACATATCTCTAAAAATGTGTGCTGAGCGGAAGTTAACTTTTGTTTTTGTTACGGGCGCCATATTGAATATTTGCCTCATTAGAAGAAAAGAGAAATTGTCTTCATAACGATGTATAATTTATAGGGTTATCATAAATAAATAGCCAAGATATGGAATATAATTATAATTTTAATAAAAAACGCAAGTAGAGAAGTGAAATATTTGAATTTTCTATAAATTAATTTAATATTTCTTATTATTAATACCTTTTAACACAACAACCTTTATTTACATAACAATAATAAGAGCACGAACAAACAACATAGATAAAGCAAAATAAAATTAAAAGGTTTAAATTTTATCACATATGTTCGAAGTGCACACCAGTTACTTGACCGCCAAGAAGTCCTGATTTGACCATCATGGACTTTTAAAGAAAATTAATTTAAATAAATTTTTCTATTTTTGAGAAAAATCGAAAAAACATTATTCCTATGCCCACATAAAACGGACTAACTTTTTGGGGGTCAGATGAAAAAAAATTATATGACACTTTCTACTCTCCTTCCCTAAATCTGAAAAATTTAACAAGAATTTTGCAGCCATTTCCAACATTTCCCTGAATAATAACATAAAACTCTATTCACTGTCTTGCAATCTAAACATATTTTTTATAATTACTATGACTTTAATTCCTGAAATGCCATTCTTCAGATAGTGCAAGAAGGAAAATTATCCATCACAGGACTTCAAGAATGTATTTTAGAGAAAAAAGTGCTGGAATAAAAAGTTTTCAATTTCATCCTATTAACACGTGTTTATACATTTAAAATGTATCTACCTTTGCCTCTCTTCATCAGATATAGTATCAGTAACAATTCATGTGGCGCTCTCGATCAGCAAAATCAGTTCCCTCTATTTTCAATATCAAAGTTGTTCCACATCAGGAACAAAATCGGGATTGATTACCCATTCTTACTTTCGAAAAGGTTATTCAAAATATCCTCCAATTCTTTATCGGTCATAGGGTTGTTTTTGCGCCAAGACTCCATTTTATTCATTTAAAAATATAAAGCCTAATGCATAGTGTTGTTTATAAACAACAATTACACATAGCCCCCTACTATAAAAATGAAATATTTTATTATTACACCGATGCAAAAAATATACTTTGCTCATCTTACAAGTACCCGTAGTAGTTATTTATTGTATAAGTGTTTTAAGTAGCATTTTATCCATGCAAGAATGTTTAAACGTGAGAACGTAGTTCGAGCGTTTAATATACTTAAGTGGATAAAAGGCAATTAAAACACGAACATAATACGTTTTATTCATAATCAGATCACAATCATATTTGTGGAGTTAGAATTATTGGAATATAATAAAAAAATATTCGCACGACTTAATATTTCTTACTAGTACTCAATGAAACGTGGTAGGTTTTGTTATACCTACTGGTTGCTATGGTACGTTATTTATTATTAATTATTTAATAAACAGTTCTATCTGAATTTGGTAAAAATGCAAGTAATTATTATGTTCCTGTGGCAGTTTTTGAAGAAGCTCAAGAAGCAATTTTCCATTTATTGGCAGAGAAATCCAGGGAACGTTACAAAAAAATGTTCGCTGAATTTAACGAATGGAGGAAAAAACAGAGATTAATGACAATAACTGAAGTCATGCTATCATATTTTTTAAATTTGAAGAAAAAATATGCAATTTCATCTATGTGGTCGAAGTATTCGATATTGAAGGCTACTATAAAGGTCTACAAAAATATAGATATTGGAAAATATCACAAGCTTACTGCTTATTTGAAGAGTGAATCGGGAGGATACAAAGCAAAAAAAAGCTGCAGGGCACATATTGAAGAATTTTTGAGTGGGGCTTCCGATAAAGAATATTTAATGATTAAGGTAATATATCTTTACCTTTTACATGTTGTTAGGTATCTAGTGAACTTTGAATTATTTTAGGTTGCACTAATTTTTGGTGCCTGTCGATGCTGCGAATTGACAAATTTGAAAATTAGTGACGTATAGGACGTTGGCAGTTACCTAATTATAGGAGAATTTTGCGTGAATGCTGTTGAAATATGCAGAAAATATATTTCTCTGCGCCCAATTCGCCTAAAACAAGACAGATTACTTTTAAGAGACACCAATAAAAAATGTCGTATTTCTCAGGCTGTTGGAAATTAACACATTGGCGAAGGTACCCTCAATAGTTGCTTCATTCCTGAATATAGCAAATCCAGAAGCATATACCTAGGGGCCATTGTATGAGGAGAGGCACTTCAACAACTTTATTGACCAATAAACGGATGGCTGGAAGAGCTCCTCTGTTGCAGAAAGTTATGTTGAGGCGTCTATATCTAACAAACTTGATATTGCAAGGAAAATCCAAGGAAAATATATCAGTTCCTTATGAGAAGAAACATCCATAACTTGTGCAAATTCTTCACAAACTTCAGCAGATGTTATGCGTACCGAAAATGGTGGCATCAATGCAACAAGGGTTGTTATTAATGGAAAGGAAGTTAAATGTGATAAAATAAAAAACGAAATGTCTATTACTATAAATTAAATTTGATTTATTATAGGTTTATTATTTTTTCATTATTCTACTAGAGAAATAAAGTTACTTTATTCCACTAGTAAATAAAATATCACTTTAGTTTAGACGGTTCATATGTGTGGATAAAAGTCCGAGTATAAAGTGATTGTAGATAAAATATTTATATCGCCTCAATTCACAGTTTTCAAAAAAACAATTGCCCTGAGCCAGGAGAATGTAAACACTGGCAACTATTAAATCAACTGACATTTGCTCAACCCGTGTTGCTATCTATTCAGTTTTCAGTTTCTTTATTAGTATGTTGTTGAACGACAACATAACAGAGAATATGCCTCAATGTATTTCTGATGGATCCATCGTCTTCAGCGGGTCAAAATACAGGGGAGTACTCTATAAAAAAGTATAGGGTATCCCGAAATTGAGGGGTAATATTTCTACAGGGTGTTCTATGTCGAAAAAGATTACTTTTTCTTTATATAAATGTGGGTCCAAAAATTCTTCCTAAGGAAGTTATAGTGACTTAAAGGGGCCACTCTGATGATGGTTTTTTCTAGATAACTCCAAAACCAGTTGAGATAAGTTTATGAAATTTGGTAACTAGCTTAACTCTTACGTGCTCAGTCCGCTACTAAAACGATTTACAAATTTTCATCACATACGTTCCAACACTGGGAGGGAGGGGGGTAAAATTTACCATGACTGTTTTATGCTTTGACTTTTGACTGAAAAGATGAAATTTCAGTTTTTTAGTAAAAAAAAACAAATGAAATTATTAAGTAGTAATATAATAAATTAATAAAAATAATTGAAAACCACACTATTAATAAAACTTATCTTTACCTCCATTTTAATTTTTATAGCAATGTTCAAAAAGATTTCCATTTTGCTGAATATATTTTTCAGCTCGACGTGGAATTGCCCACGAAGACCTCGAAACTTCAAAATTATTTTGTCTGATTTGATCCGCAGCTAAATGAATCCTCTGTTGTAATTCTTCCAAAGGAAGAAAGTAATCTAGAGGATTTAGGTCTAGAGATCTAGGTATTCGGTTGTAAATAGTGAGTAGTCCAAATTTCATTTAATTCCCTCAAGTGGAAATATAGAATTCTGGAAAAAACTTATTTTATTTTAAAACTTTGACACCCTGTAACTAAGGAACGAAGCAAAATCGGACCCATGTTGATATGAAAAAATAATCTTGTTTTTAGATTAGGAATCTGCCCCCGAGTGTTGGCCCATGTTTTCTGAAACACCCTGTATAAAGAAATAGTAGTCTTTTTCGACATAGAACACCCTGTAGAAATATTGCCCCCTAATTTTAGGACACACTGTATATGATTTTTTTTTTGTATATTTTGTGAATTAATTTTGCTTTGTTAAAAAAAAAATCTGAAAATATCACAATTTATTCGTGTAACCACTACACATTGAGAATTTTAACAGCTCATAATAGTCAGAGTCATTTGTCAACACTGGTTTTTGTTCTGCACTATATTGTTCACTACATCGGCTCCTAAATGGGGTAAGTCATTTGCAGTTAACAGACCTTTTGGTAAGTAACCAACGAGATTCTTCACATGCTCTTTCAACATTCTTATTCTTTCTTCCTCTATTACTTGCCTCCTAAATAAAAAATCAGATTGCACCTTACCCTGACACTAAAATAACATTTACTAACCTTTTTTCCATCTCGTGGTCTTCCTGCTCCTTTAGTTTTATGGACAGCTGCATTTCTTCGGCGTATTTCTGTCGTCTATCTATCATCATTTGTTCGACATCCCTTCTCAATTGTAACATCCTCATTCTCCTCTTTTGTTGGGACATCTGCTCCAATTTTGCATCTTCAGCTAATTTTGCCAACATCTAAAAAAACACCTGATACAAATTGGTTCAGAGAAAGTAAAAATACTGAATTTAAAATATATCTCCATCTTTCTGATATAAAAAAGCATTTTATTTCCAAACCTCATCTTTATATCTAGCATCCTCGTTAGCTTCCTGTTGTGACCTTTCTTCCTTTTCCTTCAGTTGTCTGGCAAGAGATTCATTCATCTCTATCCTCTGTCGAATCAATCTTTCCATATCATGTTTGTCTCTCCTTTCCAGCTCTTCCTTCTTCTCCAACTCCATCAATTCCTGAATGATATCTTCCCTTTCTTTCTTCTTGGCCTACAAAAAATATTGTTCCATGGAAAAAATGAACCAAGTTCATTTAATGAAATAAAAAAAACCCGTTTGTATCTATCAGTTATGGAAAAAAATAAAATAAAAAAACTCTTTTCAAGACCTCAGGGTCCGTAATTCCCATTTTAATTTTTTATTTGGCAAATTTAATTCAAAATTTTTTCATCATGACAGTTTCTTAGTGAGCATAAAAATCATTCCTTAAAAAAGCTGTGTAGATCCTATGTCATTTTCAGACATGATCACTTTAATTTTCACTAGTCGCCACTAGTGTAATTATATCATAATGTAGCTTAATTAATGTACCCAAATGTGATGTAATATGGACCAATATGTACCAGTAATGTGTCAAGTCGATTACTTTTGAGATAAGGTGTTTTTTAATTGTAACATTCCGCAATTTAGACTGATCGAAATAACTCACTTAGAGGGAAAAAAAAGAAAATTGTTACCTGGAGTTTTAAAGAAAAAAAAAAATAAATGCGTGAGCAGGGGTGGCGGAGGGTTGATTTAGGGGTTGAAAAGTTGTGAAAAATTGTATATTGGGATTTCTGGCGAAAGTTGACGTCAAACCAAAAAGTATCCAATACAACACAACAATACAACTTTTGTAGAGGTCACTTTTTAAGAGAACCTCAAAATGCGAAAAACTGTTTTTTTTTCTTATTTTTCGTTTTTTACTCATTTCCGCAAAAATAATTTAATTTTGACGAAACTTGGTGAAAGTATACCTTTCTGTGTCTTAAATAATTACAAATTTTTTTAGATAAAAAAATCAAGAAGTTTCCTAGATATTAATTTTTTTCGGTCTGAAATACTTTTTTTTGAAAGAAAAATTCTACTTAGTAAAATCATCGTCCAGAGTTCTGCCGGTGATCATCTTTTTCGTTTTGACATACTTTTTGGTGAAATAAATGGTCAAAAATGCAAAAAGAATTAAAAATTACTTGCAACAATGATTTTTTCAGTAATTGTTGATAATATGTTTAAATTTAAAAAAAAATCAAAAACTGATTACACCATTCAATTGTACGGAAAAAATACAAAAAAGACTGTCTCATTGTTTGACCCAAAGCTTTATTTTGGTACAGTATTGCTATAAACGTAAGTACTTATTTTTTTTTAATTTTGTCCAAGATAAGAATGGGATAGCATTAGGATCTAGGAAACGATAAGATATACGGAGTGGTTAAGATTAGAAAAATGTTGTATTTTTTTTATACCTAACAATATTCCGTTTAGAAAGTTTTAAAATTCCGGGTAGTTCCGGAGATATCTGGAAAAACCCGAAATTTTACAAAATTGTTTAATTTTTTTTTCTGATTTTATTTGAAAACGAATTTTAAAATAAATTTCATATTTACAATGCCACTTTTTTCACTCTATTCAATGGCACCAACATTTTTGCAATCCGTCGTTTATTCTTCGAGGGGCCATCATCGGGTAAATTATTTTAAATACGTCACTGCTATTTTTATGACAAAATCTAGTCATTTTTAATTCTGAATTAAATGATATTACTATTGTAATTGCTTAAAAAGTTTTTAGCTTGTTTTAGCTATCATTTAAAATTTTTCCTGAGTACGGCTCTGAACGCTTTGAAAATATCTGTTGGATAAGTCATAACAGTATAAAAGTCAATACCGCACAAAATACCAAAACATTTTTTTTAGTACTATTAGCAATACTAATTAAAAATAATAAGATATTTCATAAATTAATATTATTTTTTTATTAGGTACAACTTTTTATATTATTGATTATTGATTTTATAATATTGTTGGATATTTTGTGCTGTATTGACTTTTATACTCTAATTCAGAATTAAAAATGACTAGATTTTGGTCATAAAAATAACAGCGACATATTTAAAAAAATTAACCTGATGATATCCCCTCGAAGACAAAACGTCAGATTGCAAAAATGTTGACGCCATTGGATGGAGCGAAAAAGTGGCAATGTAAATATGCAATTTATTTTAAAATTCGTTTTTAAATAAAGCAAGAAAAAAAATAAATTTTGCAAAATTTTGGGTTTCCGGTTTCACGTCAACAGTAGACTTTGCAGTTAATACTTTGTATTGCTGAAATCTCAAATCATCCAGAGATAATTAATTTATCATTTGTGAATTTGTAATTCGACTTAGATGTTTATAGCAATACCGTACAAAAATAAAGTTTTGAGTCAAACACTGAGTTTTTTTTGTATTTTTTTCCGTAGAATTGAATGGTGTAATCAGTTTTTGATTTTTTTTTAATTTAACCAAATTATCAACAATTATTGAAAAATTCATTGTTGCAAGTCATTTTTATGCATTTTTGACCATGTTTTTGAACTGTGATTACAGATTTTTTTATTTCACCAAAATGTATGTCAAAACGAAAAAAATTAACACCGGCAAAACTCTGTAGGATAATTTTTATAAGTAGAATTTTTCTTTGAAAAACAAGTGTTTCAGAGCGAAAAAAATGAATGTCTTGGAAACTTCTTGATTTCCATATCTAAAAAAATTTGTTGTTATTTAAGACAGAAAGGTATACTTTCACCAAGTTTCGTCAAAATTAAATTATTTTTACAGAAATGAGAAATAAAAAATGAAAAATCAGAAAAAAAACTGTTTTTCGCATGTTTCTCGGAAATTTTGAGGTTATCTTAAAAGTGACCTCTACAAAAGTTGTAGATTTTTGCATTATCTACAACTTTTGTATTAGATACTTTTTTGTTTGACGTTAACTTTCACCAGAAATCCCAATGATACAATTTTTCACAACTTTTCAGTCCCCCAAATCAACCCTCCACCACCCCTGCTCACACATTTATTTTTTTTTAGGTTTATTATAAGCCCTTTTACCATTTCCACTTATAAAAGACCAGGTAACAATTTATTTTTGTAAGGTGTAATTTGGTTGGACTAATTACAAATATATAGTTGTTCTATACCCTCTCGTTAATTTTGGGACACCCAATATATCCTGAAGAAATAAATGATTCTACATATATTTCTATAGATACAATATTTTAAAACATATTAAATAACAGTTAACTTAAATATGTTTGGCACATTTAAAGTCAAAATAGATATTATATGAATATATTTTATTATACATTATTATATTTCTAAAATATAAACGAGAAAATGAGAAAATCCAAGAGAATGATGAGCCATATTGCAAGCTCTGGGGAATCAATGGACAGCTCCATGGATATAATGGAAGAAACAAGATTCAGAAAGAAAAATCAAAAAATGGCCGTGCGAATATCAGAGAAGTTGCATTTTACTTTTGAAGAAGCAGAATATCTTTTGCTGATCTATTATAAATTGCAAAAAGAGAGCAAAGAAATGGCCCAGGGAATGGATAAGACTCAGTTCCGAGATGTATTACACTGTGCCTTGGACATGACTGACGATTACTTAATGGACAGAATATTTTATACATTAGATAAGGGTCCTAGTCCATTTATGTCTAAGGATATTTGGGCATCGAGTTTATCTTTATTTCTAAGAGGAACGATAGAGGAAAAAATGAGTTACTGTTTCACGGTAAGTGATAGTGAATTGTATTTTATATCATTTACGATGACCAATAATTGCTTTTAACGTTTTTTTTTTTATTATTGACAGGTATACGATACAATGGGTGAAGGAGTATTAGGAAGAGAAAGCATGTTTAACCTAATGAAGAACTCATTTCCAACTGGCGATGAAGATGCTGAAGAAGCCGCAAAGGTAACTTAGTAATTTAAAAGACATAAAAGTAGTTAACAACAAAAAAAATTCAAGGATTTGGTAGAGGTGATAACAAAGAAAATGGATTGTGACAGAGATGGGAAAATTTCATTCAATGATTATAAACAGTCAGTATTAAAACAGCCAATGCTACTGGAAGTGTTTGGACAATGCTTACCTACTAGAAGGGATGTCTACACATTTTTGACAACATTTGTATCTAAAATAAGTAAAATGTAAATGTAAAATAAATATTTACCCTCTCCTCATATATTTGTTTTGCAATATCTTCCGAGATCTTGGCTTTAATTATGTTCCTTTTTTCTCTTTCATTCGTCCTAAAATTATAAATATAGTTCAAAATATTTGGATAGTCTTGGATGAACAACAGTTTGTTTGTTCTACACTGTACCAGGATGTGATGTTTGCGGCTTTAGCAGTCAAAAATTCTTGTATCCTCCTGTTTTCCTCTTCAATTTCCTCAGCTTTCTTTTTCTTCCACAACTCTCGAGCCTGTTTAAATGCAATCATTTCATCTCGTGTCCTCTTCATCTTACACATTCTCTCCTGCATTTCTCTCTCGTCTTCATCATGTATTCTTTGAACAATGTCATCGATCATCTTCTTTTCTCTAAGAAATTCTTCATAGTGGTATCGTTTGTCTTTTTCTCTCAAAATCATTTGATCCTGCAGTTCACGTTTATATTGGGCCTTTTTAAGTATATCTTCTTGTTTTAATTTGATTTTAAGTTCTGATTCATCCCGCCAAACTGTCCTTAAAATATCTTGCGCCCTCTTTTCTTGTATCTGCGTAATAAATTAAATAATGAAAATGTACTTGACTGTAGTTTTCATATACAGATCCTTCATAAAGGTTTACAAGTCACATGACTACTGAGCTTAGGAAACCCAACAATGCACGACTGGTACTGGTAACAAATATTCCTTAATCTAGGCATCACCAATATTAATGGCTCGTTTACAATGAACAGTAACAAACCATTACGCTTATACTCAAGATAACGCTATCGGTGATAGAACAGAAACTCTTGAAAAATTACTTACCAATCACAGCCGGTGAAGCAAGCCAAAATTACTGTTCTAAACAAAATTACCGGTCACGTGACATCTAATCGTTTATAAAGACTCTGTTGTATAAATAAAACGAATATATAAAAATTGTGTTGTAACTAATTTTATAAGTTTTAGTAAAATTAACCAACCTTCTCATTCATTTTTTCAGCTTCTTTCTCAGCCATTTGAGCAATAAGGGCTTTGTGTATGTATGCAGCTTTCAACTTTCTTTCAAGATCTCTTAACTCGTGTGAGTTTTCTCTCAACTGTTGCCTGCATGTCGAAAGAAAATAAAGAAATAAATAAAACACTAAATAAATGTTTTTTCTAGGTACCTCAAAAGTAATTCCTTCATTTCATCCCTCTTAATTTTATCTAATTCTCTGGATAAATTAGTTTCTCGTTCCAACTGTCTTTCATGAAAAGCTGCATCTTCAATACGTTTTTGCATGGCGTTAGTTTCTTCTTGTTGTCGTCTTTGAACATTCATGTATCTTGTGAGATTCCCATAGCGACTTTTGTCTTCAATATCGGCCCTTACTTTTTGAGTAGTCTCACAAAACTCTCGTTTTTCCATCTCCAGCTCCAATTCTTGCCTTTCTAATGGTGTTAAAGCCTGCAAGTAAAATAATTTAAAAAAACGATACTAGTTTTACACAAACTACTTACCATTTTGCAATATATATGATGAACAAAAAAATACTGAATTTGTTTGATAATTATTTAATTATTTATTTATAAAAACCACTGACATACGATAATTGACAGTAAACAATGCAAATGCAAGGACTGGACTGAGGAGTGAGTACGTTCCGATAGGTTACTAATTTCACGTCACGGCCCACGGGTGTGCTACATATCTCGAAAATGAAAAAACTGAGTCATATTGTTGGTTCTGCGACGAGTGCGCCGCGCGCGCGCCATTATTCCATGGCTAGAAATTGGCCTCAATGATTTGGGATCGAGGGGAATTATCCCTCTTTATCCTGCCTCATCTCGTGTAGGCCTGGACAGCCTTCGTAGGTGGGCCCCATCCGTCGTCTACCCCGACCGCAAATGCGGCCGGTGGAGGCGCTTTGTGGGACCTCCTTTTGTCCTGGCTGGGCCCCGCCGGCTAGGGCCCTTTCTTCTGGCGCTCTTCTTGCTTCGCCGGCTCGTCTGTGTAAACCCCGGGGGTAGTGTCATGTTTATGTGTGGTATGGTTGGGTAGGGTAGTGCGGCTATGCAGCCTGGGATGCGCTTTGCTAAGGTGGCCCTTAGGCTAGCGCGGGAGGGGAGGGTTAAGGAGGGTATGGGGGGTGTGTATGTGTGTGTGTGTGTCGTTGTCTTCGTTTCTTGATCCTGGCTGTCTCTGAAACAGAAAAGGTTAGCGGGCAGGGGGGGGGTCATTGGGGTGGTCACCCAGGGTCAAAAAGTTGGTGTCTAGGTCTTTTGTGTTTGTCGGTCACGTCGGGTACGTAGTCAACGGCTTGCCTGAGGAGGGGATTGTCATGTCTAGCGGCTACGTCAAATCGTTTCTCCGCGTTTTGTCTTATTGTCTGTGTAGCGTTTGTGTATTGTAAGTCTCGTAATATGTCAGTGTTTCTTACGTACCAGGGCGCGTCGGTGGCCGTGCGGAGGGCTATGTTTTCCACAGCCTGTAATGACTTTAAGTGGCTTTTTGCCGCGTGACCCCACGCCGTGGAGGCGTAGGTTAGCTGCGGTTGAAGTACCACCTTGATAAGCGTTCGCTTATTCCTTAAACTGAGGGTGTTTCCACCTTTGAGTAAGGGATAGAGCCTAGCCCTGGTGGTCTTCGCTCGCGCCACCGTCTCCACGATGTGCGGTTTCCACGTGAGACGCTGGTCCATCGTCACGCCCAGGTATCGTGTTTGTCGATTCCAGGAGATGGGTTCCTGGGATAGTGTCAGTCTGTCGAGGTTTTGTGGGATTTTTCGTTTGGTAAAAAGGATAGCCGAACTTTTGTTGGGATTAATTTTGACTTTCCACCTGTTGCACCAGGTTTCAAGTTGGTCTAAGGAGTTTTGGAGGAGGGAGACGGAATATCTAGGATCTACGGATTGGGATGTGATTGTCAGGTCGTCGGCGTATAAGTATATGTTGGTGTTGGGGGGATGTGGGATGTCGGAGTTGTAAATGGTGTATAGGTGTGGGGACAGGACGGTGCCCTGGGGGACACCGGCCTCCATGGGACGGGTGGTGGAAAGGGAATCTTGGATTTGGATGCGGAATTTTCGGTGGTGTAGGTAGGATTTTATGAGTTTGGTAAAGGATATGGGATATTGGTTGGTGAGCATTTTCATCAGTAGGCCTTCATGCCAAACCGTATCGAAGGCCTTTGCGACGTCCAGGAAGACAGCACCAGTGTACTGTCCCCTGTTGAAGGCCGCCGTGATGTGCTCGGTAAGGCGAAGGATTTGGAGTTCAGTGGAGTGATTGGGTCGGAAGGCGAACTGCTCGTCTGGAATGACTTGCAGTTCTTGGGAGTGGGTTCTTAGACGGGTTAGGATAATTTTTTCTACCACTTTGCTCATAGCCGGGAGCAGGCTAATGGGCCGGTAGTTGGATGGGATGGTGTGATCTTTGTTGGGTTTTGGGATAAGGATTATGTTTGCTGTTTTCCAGCGGGTAGGGAAGTGTCTTAGTCTGAGTGTCGCGTTTGTTATGTTTAGTAGGGCCATGAGGCCCTTGTGTGGTAGTCGTTTAAGTGTCGTGTTATGTATATTGTCGGGTCCTGGGGCTTTTCTGTTTTTAAGTCTGCGTATTGTCAGTCTTAGTTCGTCAGGTGTTGCGAGAGGGATTATGTTATTGTCTGGCTCTCTGTCGACGCGTCGGGCTGCGCGCTCAGCCATTATCTCAAATTCCTCGTCTTCGTCTACACTGCAGTTCCAGGCTATCGGCGAAAGCCTCGGCCTTTTCCTAGCCTCGGCCTTTTCCTGGTTCGTGTAAACCACCCCCACACTACCGTGGATTGGAGGAATTTTACGGCGAGCGGTCTGTCGCAGGGCCCTCTGCGTTTTCCAGAGGCTGTTGTCTTGTGGATCCAGCGACTCCAGGTGCCTAGCCCAGTTATCCTGGGCCAGTTCATCCAGAGCCGCCTTCACCCGTCTGTTAAGTACGTTTAAGTCATGTCTGTGTCGGGGGAGG